GACCACATGGTTTGATTAGTTTGTGTGTTGGAATAACAGTAAATTTGAAACAAATTTTTTAACAATTACGTTTTCGCCTAAGGTGAATTGTTGGAATATTGAAAGATGGCTAGAGGACAACAGAAACTCCAATCTCAAGCCAAAGCAGCAGAACGTGCTGCTAAGGTTAAAAAGCAACAAGGACATAGTTCTACTGACCAGAAAAAAGCTGCCCAAAAAGCTTTAGTACATGTTTGTGCTGTTTGTAAAGTAAGTAATTTATTCTAAAACATATTGCACAGTTTTCACTCTAAGCATTGGTATTAAAAATGAGTTTTTGACCAAAATAAATTCGTTTTAATATAATAAAACTAAAGGCTTCAAACAAATCAGTTTTCTTTCAATTTATTTCTGTTTTATTTTTATTAAGAAGTATTTTTTCATTTTTTATTTATTTGTCATATAAAATTGGTATTTTTTTAGGCTCAGATGCCAGATCCGAAAACATACAAACAGCATTTTGAAAATAAACATCCCAAAAATGATGTGCCTCCAGAACTTAAAGATGTATAACCATTGGAGTAAATGTCAGAGCCAACAGTGTTCTATTATTACTTTCTTTGAGGGAGCATAATTCTGATTTCCTTTTCCACTATTATGTATACTTTCTGTTTCTCTTTTAATGTATGTTTAATAACTTTGACTTCTATAAACCTGTGTAAATTCCGGTATCTATGGGTTTTGAGTATGTTTTTCCATTTTTTGATATTTGTAATTATAATTCTAGGGATTTATAAAGATTCTTTTATTTCCTTGTTCCTTTGTTTATAGGTCGTCAGATGTTGCTGATGTACAGATTCAAAATAAAAAATGATAAACTTATGGCAACTTGCATTTTTCTTATGAAAAGTATTTCTATTCTATAAAAATTATATTCAGTTCATACATTTTGTGAAACACAGTCAACATCTACATTAAAATACTGCTAAATCAAGTACTACGTTAGTAAATTCTATGGAGAATAAAGAAAATTAATAATAAATATATTTATACATAAGATTTGAAAAATGTTTTAGAGCTTTTTCAATTTGTTTCATATTCAGGCACTATCAAAAGTATGTTGAGTGGTAAAATAAGTGACATTCCTAATATACTTGAAAAAAAATTTCATGAGAGAATGTAGAATAAGGTGACCATAGGGTTTCCTCCCAGAGTTGTCGCATGGGCTTACACGGCTATCATAAGACCTATGCTAACATATGGTGCAGTTGTCTGGGTACAGAAAACCCAAAAATTGACAGCTATCTGCAAACTAGAACAAATTCAAAGAACAGCATGTCTCAACATAACAGGAGCCATGAAAAACCACTCCGACCAGCGCCATGTAAGTCATTCTTAAGCCTTGGTTTCTTTGAACACTTCGTCGCGGTGAGCGGACAGTCCGTCAACCGTCGCGTTTTGACGATTTTATCCAACCAGAGTATTTAAATGGGAATGGTTTTCTTGAATCCGCTTAGCTGAGCAGGACGGCGTCATGCCGCTGATTTGTCGCGAAGAGTCGGTTGATATCTATTGAGTTTGATATCAGCGGAATCGTCGGCGTGTGCGGAGACTATATTGTTATTAATTTTAAAACAATGAGTGACAAATTCACACATAGATGACATCATGACTTTATTTTAAGGTTTCTTGGAAATTATGTCCTTTATAAAACTCAACACGAATTCAAAAAGATCTGTAGAAAGTCTAAAATACTCCCTAAATTTGGTTTCATTTCTAAAAAGCCTCCGCTGCACAGTGATATTAAAGGCACCTTCTGTATCGCGACACAAAAACAACTCATCCACTGGCTTATTGGAAACTGACGGTTGCAATTGCCAGTTCCTCTTGTTCTTCTTCTTCCAACAATAATAACAACGCAAACAATTTATTTGCATCCATTTTAGTACCTTTCGTTTACATTCATAATACATAAACAGCACGTACAGACATAGAGAAAGTATCATTTTCTATATTTTTTAACAAACCACCTCGGGCGAAAATTGCTGTCCTCAGCGGTCGACGGACTGTCCGCTCACCGCGACGGAGTGTTCAAAGAAACCAAGGCTTTAGTCTCACTCGCCTTGATATTTACATTAGGAGGTTGCTCTGATGACAATGACTCGCCTTTGAACAGTTGGAATGGAACCTGATGTAAGATCTGGTGAGGCGAGACGTCGCTTTTGGCAGGAGGCACTCGCTACCCTCATACTGCTGTAGGCTAACATATATCTTTCATAAGCTATATAAAATTTATAACAGAGCAAATAGAAGGTACGATTCATATCTTCATCGACAGTTCTAAAACAAGGCTCAGGATGTGGAATATACTCCAGATCCTTAAACCTAAACATAAAATGGACTGCGAGCAACAGTGCCAGTATAGTTCAAACAGAGCTCTTATGGGTATTCTCATAGCAGCAAAAGAAATCACCAGAAACAATATCACTGGAAGGAACATGCTCATCTATACAGATAGCAGATAAGCACTACTCGCCCTGAACAAACAACTCATGGTTAGCACTAAAATGTTGTGAAGCTTTGACTAAAGTATCCATGAACAATCTGGTCACCTTAAGATGGATCAAAGGTCACGTCACATTAAAAGGTAACCGCCTTGCCGATTCACTGGCCAAAAAAATGCAGCCCCTATATTGGCCTGAAAAAATCGGTAGTGACAGACCTAATTAAAGAACATTGCCTTGTGAAATTGAAGGAAAGATGGAATGAAACAAGAAACTGCAGAGTTGCGAGGGAGCTTTTAAGTTATCCTGACAACACTACAGCACACACATACTTGACTATGACTAGACATAATCTGCACCTGGTCATTGTCAATTACGGAAGCATCTCCATATCATGGGGCTGTCAGAATCCGCACTCTGCAGGGGGTGTGAAAAAGAAGATGAGACCATCCAGTATATCCTCTACGATTCCTCGACGCTTTCATTTATTAGATTTGTTTTTGGCGAGTATCTGCTAACACCAGCCGATATAAGAAAAGCACCTCTTGGCGACTTTGTCAACTACATTAAATCTGTAGACTGGCTCACGACCTAAGAGGTGCCTGTCATCTTAGGAGGATGCACAATGGGCCTAAGTTCCATGGGGGGGGGAAGGTAACCCACCTTCCACACGTTGTTGATCCAGAGAGAGATAGGGTGATTATATTTATTTTGACCTAATGCTGGATTGTGAATGCTGAACATCAGGGGCCCTTTCTTTATGAGACTATCTGCAATCTCGTGGTACCCACTTCGGTACCAAAGTGAAATTTCTAGTGTGAATTTCCAAGTGGAAGCTGCTAGAGTATTGATTTTGGCCTCAAATCTTTCCCTCTTGAAAGTTTTTGACAAAACTATACTTCCTGGGCCATGTCCCAATCTCTTCGGTCTTGGATCTAATAGCAGCGAAGACATCCATTTGGTTCTGATATCTGCTTTTTTATTCAGGTGCTATTTTAATGGAGTCGTGCGTCATGTTGTCAAACGTTCTTTCTATATCTAAGAAGATACACAGGACTGTTACTTTGTTTCTCAGTGCAATATGTATTTCGTCAGTAAATTGTACAAGAGCAGTTTCAGCCGATCTGTCTGCTCGATCCACATGATGGCTAAAGTAGAGTGACACCCTCAATAATTTCTATTCCGACATAATTATCAACAGTTTTTGTCATTGTTTTTAATACAAAGGATGTAAGGCCAAGGGCGGCTCCATACGATGTATGGGCCTTTTATTCAGAAAAATATTCTAAAAAGAGAATGGCTAAATGCAAATGTTAGAAATGTCAGAATTTCTGCGTTAACCGTCAGGAGAAGACTAAAAGAAGCCGGATCGGCTAGCAGAAAGGCCTATCACTGCACCATTTCTTACCGTAGATCACAGATCACGCAGATTAAAGTTCGCCAGAGATCATGCACATTGGACTGTGGATGACTAGAAGAGATTTTTGTTCACAGATGAAGCCAGAGTAAGTCTAAAATCTCCAGACAGCACACCAAATCCTTTGGATATCTACTGCACATCCCAATATCCACTGAATGTCCAGTCCATGGTGGATATCTATTTTATATCCATGATATGTAATTTATAGACATGCAAATGTCCATAAATAATAGTAATTATATAGCAAATTATTAAAAAATTACGCCAAAGTCTAGGCGCGAACGCAAACCATCGTGGATATCCACTAGATGTTATTTGATTTTGCTTACTAAGTATAGATGGCGATACCACTTTCGCATCTGCTCATGCTTGACCCGCCGTAATTGAGTTCGATCGAAATTTGTGTCCTAATCAGACTCCATTAGAGACTGGAGTCGAGAATTTCCATTTATTGCTGAAGAGTCCTAATAAGGATGGCTTTCTCCTTAGTGGGCAAAATCAAAGGCAGTGTTGAAAATATTTTTTATCTCTGCTATTTTCTTTCGACGTTATTCAATAATCATTGGTTACTTATGAACCTCTACTAAAGATACCCATAAAATATTTTGCTGAATATCCGAATATCTTCTATATCCTGGGATATAGACGGACAATTGGTTGGATATCCATATTGGATATATTGAATATCCACAAAATGTATTCTGTGGATATCTCTGGGATTTCTTGTATTGTCGGGAAGATACCCATTAGATATTTTGCTGGATATCCATTAGGATATCTTCTATATTCTGGATATAGACGGACATTTGGATATCCATATTAGATCCACGGAATATTTCTGATATCCTGTGGATATATTGGATATCCACAAAAGATATTCTGTGGATATCTCTGGGATTTGGTGTGTTGTCTGGGAGACTATTCTGACATATCCGGATTTTATGTGGCAATTGAAACAGCAGGAAGTATACTATTCATACCTGGAGACTTAAATGGTTTAAAAGAACCTGCTCACATTACTTGTGTCCCTTATTATATGATAGAAGAATAGTGCAATTGAACAAAATGTCTACTTTGAAAAATAAAACGATTAACACATAAAAAAGTTTATTTTTCAAATTCAATTAGAATTTAAAAATAGAAATAAAAAATATACATTATTTAAATACAACTTAACAATACAATTCATTCAGAAACAATCAAAACCAAGCAAACAAACTTTCAATTGAACCTGACTGCAAATAACTTAATAAAAAAATAATGTACGATATTATTAAAGTTATATTTTTTTGGGGGATAATAGTAGTTTCATTAACAAAGTACGGTATATCGTATAATTACGTCACATCAATGAGATTTTTGAATACGTGTACAGGGCGATTCAAAAAATTAAATCTACAAATTTGACCACCACAATCTTTTTGATTGTCAAACAGATTTACATATCACAAGAAATACTAGGCATTCGAATTCTGAAAAATAAATATATACAACTCAATTTATTTCAAGAGACAATACACCCACGATCTTTCACCATAAAATGTTTTTTTAATAAATAACATTTAAAATGTTTCAGTTTTACACAGGAACTTATACGTAGCATTAAATTATACAAATAGAATAATAAGTCATGTTTTGTATAGGCGTTTATTTTAAAGTGTTTATATTATCACTATTCAGGGATCTTTACAAGGAAGGCTCCAGGGAGGGGGCCCCGAGAATCAAATTCTTACAATCCATGAGCCTTTTATTAAAAACATATGCTAAAAAAGGAATGGCAATGGCCTCCGAAAAATCGGCCTGGAGCCGCCCTTGGATTTTTATAACTTAAGGTGGAAGACATCTTATCATTAATTATAAATTATAGACTATAGTAAGCATTTCTTGACAAATACTTAAAATTTCTTATTATTGATTTACCTCAAACTTTTCACAAAAGGGTTCAAACAACAAGCCTTGTAACATAGTAATGATAGAATTGGTTAATAAAAAAAAAGTTAAATAGGCTAGATAGAAAAAAATTAATACACTTAGAAACACAATTCTTTAATTTATATGCCAATTGTAAAGAGGAATTGCTGAATTTTCATAAATTAACATTTTTCTAGCTGGACTATTTTTTTTTAACCTTTTAATAAGTTCCTACATATTAGAGAACATTTCAAATAAGAATGCCGTTTAAATGTTATCACAAACTTTTACGATAAATGCTCAGTGAGAGTAATGCCACTTAATATACAATCACCCTGTAGCACAGACAACTTCACCAATATTCAAGATTATTACGAGCATATATAAAAAAACTATTATTCTATGCTATGAAAATGAGCCTGTAAGCAGTAAATATCACACATAAATTTCTACATGTCATGGATACTATAATTAGATGTCATAATGGTTATATACTGAAAAAAATCATAAAAAAATAATAATATATTAGAGAGTCTTAAATCTACTGGCCTTTACTTTAAATACACAAACCAAAATAAGTATCAAATTAAAATAAAATAGGAAAAAACAGAAATGTATGTTGTATACTACTTAAGACTCAACTGCATAGTATAAGATCTAGTATTATTCAATTGGTATTTCACTACAGCCCTTATTTTAATTTGATCGGGATATACATAATAATAGCTAATAATAAGAAATAATTTTTACCATTAAAAAAAATTGCAATGTAATTGTTTTAGCATTTGTAATTGCATAGATACAGGGGCCTATGAACCATTAAGTCTTCCAACTGACTATATTTTATAAGAGTTTAAGTATTCGAGTATTGGCTATATTCTTCAGTTTTTGTTTATGTTTGTCCAAAATTGCAAGGTACTGAACATTGCTTTTAATTTAAGAGCTGTAATGAAACTCATGTTAAAAATAATTTTGAAAATTAATGACTTTGTTAATAAAAATGGTGATCGCTGAAATGATTTACTATAAAATTGATAAATTACGTTAAAATTATTATTTTTTTGCATATAATAAATACTACGCATACCACATCCACTCTAACAAACACTACTCAATATTTATATATTAAATAAAAAAATTTCACAATGTAGTTTGCTGTTTCAAGTGTCCGAGTTTTGCTTTGACTTCGTGGAAATTTGGTCTCTTTTCAGGATTCAGATCCCATGCCTGAAAACAACATAACTACAGTTAAAAACAACTTATCACCGCTTCTACTGAAGCATCTCTGATATAATGTTGTAGCTGCACCACGGAGTTATTATCCTCGAAAAGAGGTTTTTTAATTAAAAATTACCTGTCTCATAATTTCATAAACTTCAGAAGGACATCCTTCAGGTGCTTCCATCTTGTAACCCTTTTCCACATGCTTTACAACGTCTGCCAATGGCTAAAAGAAAATATATTTAAAAAAAAATGTCCTGTACACTTACAATTCGGATCTTATAACAAGTTTTTCAAAGTTATGTGACTTATCATTTGAAGCAGCATTGTTAAATTGCGTTATATGATTAAATCTCGGAAATAGAGAAATTAATAACTAGTCCATTATAATTAAAAATCCTTCTGGTATTTTAAGGACAAAATCAAATATTTGTTGTAAATAATTCAGCTAGAACTATTCAAAGTATAATCCAAGCTAGTTTTTGTATATAACTAGTTAAACATTAGGGTTGGCAACAATAAATATTGTCATACTATTTTTATTTTCTAATATGTATAATCAAAGAAAACTGATATAATTGATACTGTTATTATCTTTTAACATTTATTAACACAGTAGAGTTATTCATTTTATTCAATTCAAAATAAAATTATACTTACTATCCTTGGGTATGGAACTCTTCCAAAAGAATAGATTTCCCACAATAGAATGCCAAAACTCCACATATCCGACTTATTTGAAAATTTCTGTATAAAAAAAAAGTTTGTTAGCAAAATATAAAAGAATGTTCAAAATTAAATATAATTAGTCACATTTCACTGTGTATAGGTTATATGCTTTTGTCATTTTTATCATTTGAAGCATTGTTGTCAAATATTATATGAAAAGATCTCAGAACTATAGAAATTTATAATCAGTTCATTATAAACAAATGTCATTAGATTGACTCCAAAAATCATTATTATTATTAAGAACAGGCAAGTGACATAGTCGATGAAGCTACTCTTTTAGTTAGTGACAGAAATTATTCAAAATTACTACATGACAGTTAAAACTTAATGTACTATACACTATAATGAATAAAATTATTTCTTTCTTCTTCGAGTTCTTTATCTACTCTCGTCTTGAACTGGTTTATGTTTTGGGTTGAGACTGTATATTCCTGAAGACCATTCCACAGATATACAGTTCTGTTTGTAATGAAATTTTTTCTTTGCAGTTTATTACACTTTTCTTTATCAATTTCTCCGAGTGACCTCTCAAGGTACTTGACGTACTGGCGTTATCACAGGCGTAATATCTGCTGGTCCACTTGTAAGTTTATATCAAGTATCTTCTAGTTCTTCTATCCTTTAAACTTAAAATTTGTATTTTGGCAACAGATCACAATACTCATTGTTTTGAAGGGTTGGTGGTATTTTGGTGACTTTCCTTTCTACTCTTTCCAGCAGTTCAATGTCTTTAACAAAGTATGGATCCCAAACGGTCTGTACAAATTCTATCTATCTTTGGTCTTTAAGTTGTGTAGTTTCAGGATTATATCTTCAGAATGGTCTTTAAAAGCTCTTTTGATAAGGTCAATGAGACTGTTGACTTTCTTCACTATATTTTAGCAATGTGGGTTTCCCATTTTAAATCATTAGATATGATTACAACAAGATCCTTTTGTGTTTTTACTGAACTTATTGCATTTATATTTATGGTGTACTGTATGTGGGGATTATTTGGGCCAATGTGCAATGCTGTACACTTATTTATTTTGAGGGGTATTATCCATTGTTAGTACTAGATTCCTATTTTATTCTAGTCTTGTTTCATTTTATGAGAGCTTTCCAGTAGCTTGCAGTAGATCTTTCAGTCCTCTGCTTCAGACTCAATGATTTTGCATAAATAGCTGGTATATAAAATAAATTATAGGGCATCCAAGACCGAATCTTGTGGTACTCCACTTTCTACTGGATGGTTGTTTGATAGATGTCCATTTATTCTTATACAGAACTGCTGGTTGAATAAGAAACTCTTAATCCGCAATAATAGATTGCTTCTTATTCCAAAGTGTTCCGGTTTGCTAAGCAGCCTTCTATGTGGAACTTAATCAAAAACGTTCTCATAATCAAGATATATCAACATCAATTGGCTGGTTGTTGTCCAGTGATTAACTGTACTTAGGAGATTTGTAACAACAAATCTTTTGGGCGTAAATCCGTGCTGATTGCTTGGTAAAACTCTGTGTTCCATCACAAATTCGGTTACTTCTTTTGTAATAATCTTTTCCATTGCTTTACCGATACAGCTTGTCAAACTGAATATATGTAGTTTATGGGTTTCTTTTTGTCACCTTTTAAAGTGTTACAGTCAAATACCGCCGAAAATATGCATTTTAGAAAAAAAAGTTTCAGACAAAAGTTTGATAGTTTTTTGGGGGAAATATTTTGGCTAAATTCATTTTTTTGTAGTTGGCCATAATAGGGCCATATCGAGGTGGACTTTGTTTTTTTAAATGGGAATCCCATTTTTTTCTTACATATTCTTAAAGTACATAAAAAAATAAGAAACTTTTGAGGGAAATATTTTTTTATTGGACTTTTACTTTTTGAGTAACAGGTACTTGAAAATGTTGCTGCGCGAAAAAAAAGTTGGCCATATTATGGTTAGCTATAAAAAACGATTTTAGCCAAAAGTTTTTCCCCACAAAACTATAAAACTTTCGTCTGAAACGTTTTTTTTTTATAAAAAGCGGTATATAGCTGTAACGCTATAAGTTGAACACCCGTATATAGGAGTGACTGTAGCCTGTTTTCAGTCCATTCTCAGTTCCTGGTTTTGCATAGAGTCATTCATAACTGTTTGGAGGAGATTAAGACTATTAGAACATTTTCTTAAGAAAGCTGGGAGGGATTTCATCTATTCCAGGACTTTAAGGCATAATAAATTCATAGGCATGCATTTGTTTATATATTACCCGACCTTGCCATTATCAATCATTGTCATTAAAAAAGAAAGTTCAAATAATAAATATAATTAACCTTTTTTTAGACAGTACCTAGGTATAGAAGTAGCATAGAAAATCCTTTTAATAATTTAAATACAAAATCAAATATTAAAGAAAAAAGGAAAGTGAAGTGGCACCATTACATTTTTAATGGGCTGCTTCAACGAAAAACTTTGACAGTGTCAGTATTATCATAGAGAGTAAGTAATGTTTTGCTTTCTAAGCCCCCTCGGATTTAAAAAGAAACTTAACAGCATATATATTACCACAGGTTTTTTATTTACATTTTGCTTGAGAGCTTCAGGCGCAGTCCATTTGATGGGCAATTTGGCGGACTCTGAAGTGGCGTTTTTCTCATTTCTAGCTAGTCCGAAATCAGAGACTTTTGCTCTTCCATTTTCGGCTATCAGAACATTCCTCGCCGCCAAATCTCTGTGAACTACGTGCATTTTTTCCAAATACTCCATGCCAGAGCTGGTGTCAAAGGCAAAATTAATTTGATCCTTTTTGGTGACGTGCTGTCTGCCTCTGGACCTGAGATAGTCGACAAGACTTCCTTTGCTCATGTATTCAGTTACTAGATAGATCTGGTCTTTTTTCCTTACAATTCCCAGCAAATTGACTAAGTTTTCGTGGTGCAAAGATCTGAAATACAAAACAGTTGCAATCTTTCCACTTAATATGGGCTAGATGGCAAGTAATTGATTCATATTTTAAGGTTTGTTTTAAATAGTGTAAAAAGTAAATTAAGCAAGAAATTCAGGCATTTTTTTTTCTGTTAAATTTACCCTAAGAAAGAAAGTTTACTTTAACTCACTTCATCAAAATTGCTTCAGCTTCACTCGAATCTTTTAATACTTTAACGGCTACTTTGTTGTTCTTCCACTTTCCCAACATTACTTCACAAAATTCTCCTTTACCTATTGATTCGCATATCTAAAAAAAAAAAAAAAACATAAAATATGACAAATATTATTAGATGTATGAAAAAATAACATACTGTGAGTTCCTGTTCAGGTATAACAAAAAGGTCATCTCCTTCCTTGACAACTGTTGTAGTTTTGTTGGTGTTGGAATATAAGGCTTCATTTTCTTTGGGTAAAGTTTTTACTAATTTTGTACACAGTCCATCGGCATCATTTTTGTAGTGTTCTATGAGGTCTTCTAAGTTGTCAAAAAATTCTTCATCATCAATTGTCAATCTACCACTATTTGATTTTACTCTATAATGCTCGACTTTTGATTGGAAGCACACACATAGGGTGTAATCCCCAGGGAAATTTGTTGATTCTCTTATTAGGAACAGGCCATCAGACCTTGGACGCAATAGGTTTTCAGCTTCATCTCGGGATATTTTCCCGTGGAACCAACTAAATATAAAAGACAAACAAAACTATTTTTAGCATACCTATACTAATATAATTAACAATAAGGCAAACTAATGATATAAATATTTCAATACAACAATTTTCAGATGCCTTTCATGTATTTCACAAATAAGCAATTTGAAATAAATAAATTTAAAAAAATTGATACTAAATTTGACATAAGTGATCAGTGAATCAATAGACAACAAGCAACATATGGACCACTTTCACAGATTTCTCAAAAGCCTTTTACAAATTAAATCCAATATTATATTGTATAAATTAAAATATTTAGTTTTGACATAAATATTTTCTAAAAAATCTATTAGAATACCATGGCCATAAATCTTTCCCTTTAAAAACTAAACGTGTTTTTTTTCTTCTTCATATTTTGGACCCTCATTACAATAGTCCGTTTTCAGGACTCCTGGGAATCAGGCATGACACTGCAGTTTTCAAAGACTATTGTGTCGCCATTTGAGGATCCTAATACTTGAGTTACAGAAATGACTCATCCTCCCCAACATAGTAATTAAATTTAATATCTTTACATAATATACAAAAATAATATTCTTCTTTTTGTAAATGATACAAAGAACTACAAGTCAATTAATTCTCTAGAATAGACTTAGAAATTCTAAATAATTCTTGCAACTGCCTCTAAATATTCAAGAAAATTGAACATAGAAAACAATTATTTCATTAGAAATAACTAGATAGATAAGATTAATTAAAGATACAAATATTGGGTACATACATAAGGCAGTATACAAGAGAAGGTGACCAAGTTCACAGATTTTAATAATTTTCTCCTGTACACATTTTTACAAAAACTACCTGGTCATTATGGAATTTTAATTTATAAGCATTTTTATGGCTCCAAAAATAAGCACTCAAGAATTTTACATCACTACATCTTTTTATACTGTTTACAAGGATCAATTATTGGAAATGTGTCAAAGGCTCGCCATTTGAGGATCCTAATACTTGAATTACAGAAATGACTCATCCTCCCCAACATAGTAATTCAATTTAATATCTTTACATAATATACAAAAATAATATTCTTCTTTTTTTAAATGATATAAAGAACTAACTACAAGTCAATTAATTCTTTAGAATAGACTTAGAAATTCTAAATAATTCTTGCAACTGCCTCTAAATATACAAGAAAATTGAACATAGAAAACAATTATTTCATTAGAAATAACTAGATGGATAAGATTAATTAAAGATACAAATATTGGGTACATACATAAGGCAGTATACAAGAGAAGGTGATCAAGTTCACAGATAGTAGTTTTGAGTTATTAGTATTTTAATAATTTTCTCATGTACACATTTTTACAAAAACTATCTGGTCATTATGGAATTTTAATTTATAAGCATTTTTATGGCTCCAAAAATAAGTACTCAAGAATTTTACATCACTACATCTTTTTATACTGTTTACAAGGATCAATTATTGGAAATGTGTCAAAGGCTCTTCATTAACTACTTGGCATTCAAAGTAGATGGAATGTTCCTTCCACAAAATTATAACAATCTACTAATTGAGCACATTTCTCTACCTTCCATTGAAACTACAGGCAATAGGTACAACTATTCTGCCGTGCTAAGACAAGAGGTCCTATCTACAAAAATTCAGTTTTCGAGATTTGTACACATTTGGTAAGCTTCAACTGCAAAATTTACTTTATGAAGTCTAAAAGAACATAATTATGTACACTTACTAAAAAAATTCATTTTGTAGATACGACCTGTTGTCTTAACAGAGCTGTATTGTCATATACTTAAATTGTTTAATAACCAGATTGTCCTGAACTATTACAAAAACTAGATTTGTTTCAGTACTTACCAGGAGAAAGCATATTTTGAACTGGATCTTAAAGGGCTTTGTACATGATTAACATTTACATCATGATCACTATTGGCAATATGGTTTCTAAAGTTGGTAGCATCAGAAGGATTTGTGTTCATATTATTTTGTCTCATAAGTAAATTACACTGGTGTACTACATCAATATCCATTTGTTGGGGTAATTCTTGGGGTGTCATCTGCAGACAAAAATATATTTCAAAATATTGTCACAATTATTTTAATACATAAAAGAGAGTATAATTAATATTATTTTTATTAGTTTATCTTAATTTTATAAAAAAAAACTGCTTAGTCTAACTCTAATAGTTAGAGTAATCCCCTTAATTGATAATTTTGTATTAGTCAAGATATGTAACTCTATCTAAAGTGGTTCCAAGACATATATAACCTACATAAAACATTTACAGACATTTTTTAGATGTTATGGAGCAAATTTACTTTAAATATATCTAATAAAAGAAGAGTGAATTTATAAAATAATTGATACAATTGCTTACCCAGGATGAATCTTCAAAAGAATGGGAAACTTCATTAGGGGTCATTCTTTTGACACCTCTAACAGGAACTGAGGGTGGATTTGGGGCCGATGAGGAATCCCATTGGCCATCAGGTTGACGGTACTGATCAAAAATATAAGGCTGATACCTCTAAAAATGTTAAAAAGTTATTAGACTTTGGTTGTTCATTTTAGGTAACATTATATATTATGAATTACCTGTGTAAATGATGAATTCTGGCTTGTCATCACTTTTTCAGTGTTTTGACTATCATAATACAGTTCACTAAAACAGAAACAAGGCTACTGTCAATGCAAATTAGTTGGTACATAAACTGAATTTTAATTTTCTCACTTTTCCAATAAAACCACTCCAACTAATAATTCTAATAGATTATGTGGACAAGTAATACAATATTTTTAACTGCTAAATTTTGTAATTTATTTGCATTATTAGCAAGAATAAAAAGAGGAATCAAGGCACTTCATTTACAAATTTAGCAATTTATAAAAATGAAAGAGAATAACTTAGATAATTTGACCACTTCCGGTCTGTTTCAATGTTATAAACATTCGCAGTAGCTACCGTTCCTGGCCAATGAATATCTGAATAATTTTTGTAATTATGGTGATGATTAAACTTTACACAACTCCTGCCCTAATAAACAATTTGGATTAAACCAAGTTGCGATAAATTGAAATAGCACTTACCACCTATCTACGTTTGATATATGCACATATTTCCCTTATCTGTAAAATCCTAGGTGTTAAATTAAATCAACGGATTTAAAAACATATTTTCAAAAGTATTATCTGCATAACAACCACCATTTTATTTTATGCTTGATTTGACATTGACATATTGACAATTGACATGCTATCATGTTGACATATTTCACATACTACCAACCAAAATTCAAAAATTTCTGCAGTTATGCCATCCAGACAAATTTATCGATACATAAAATAACGATGCAATAAAAAAATCGTATTTAATAAATCGAAACTATAATTTCCCAAAGTTTTTTCTTATTTGTAAAATTGTAAATAGTCTTATTTTTCTTATGTAGCTATACAGCTTTATATTAGGGTTAGGGTTACATGTCAAAGGTACGGTTTATATGGTTTGCGATGCTTGTCTAGCAGTCGATTCAGTATACATTTCTTCCCCCGAATGATCTGTCGGTCGCGGATTTTAGACCGCGACCGCCACATACCTTTGGTATCAGAGCTTAATACAAAACTTCATTGCCGCGTTTGAGAATCCACATCGGATGCATTTTTTACATCTCGAGCGTTTTTTTATCCACATCAGACACGTCTGTCCCATTACATTTACGCATACTGAATCACGTGATCAAAGATTTACATCTCAGATGCATCCGATGTGGATTCTCAAACGCGGAAATTTACGTATACTGAATCACGTGATCAAAGATTTGCTACATCTCAGATGCATCCGATGTGGGGATTCTCAAACGCGGCAATTTACGTATACTGAATCACGTGATCAAAGATTTACTACATCTCAGATGCATCCGATGTGGATAAATAAAACTCGGGTACTTAAATTATTTAACTTCTTTAACTTGAATTAATAATGTGATGGATGATAAGCATTTTCTCAAATCCTGAAATTAAACTGGACACATGGCTACCCTTATTAACTTTATCAACTTGCTTTTTATTATAGCGACACCGTCGACTACCCATCAGCTTCACGTAAATACGAAGTCGAAAATGGAATGAACTTTAGAAGAGGGTATTCATCATTTATTGAAATCAAAAATTACAATGATTAAGTAAGGACCGATTCCATCGTTGTGTTAAACGGAGTTTAAAATGACATTTTTACATTAACAATGTCATTTTAATCTCCGTTTAACACAACGGTGGAATCGACCCTAAGGACTGAAGTTAGTTATGGAGTGAAAAGAGTAAAATGAGTCCACCTCCCGAATTCAACAAATGTTGCAGGATAAACAAACGCTTGAGATGCAAAAAATGCAACGGAATGGGAATATTCAAATGCAGCAAATAGGTTCATGTTATTTCCCTGTCGATAGAAATTAAGAAATATTGCTTGAATATGCCAGTTTTATAAAATCTGCAACTTTTTATTCTTCCTCTTTAATGACCGATTCCACCGTTGTGTTAAACGAAGTTTAAAATGACATTTTTACATTACCAAGGTCATTTTAATCTCCGTTTAACACAACGGTGGAATCACAAAGCATGGTACTTTGTGGGTGGAATCGACCCTAAGGAAAATAAAAATGTCTTGCCGCAATTCAAAGGTACGTGATAAAACATTACCACGAGAAAGCCATCGTGCACGGTTCTAGTACAACAAAGACGAGTATTTGGTTCCCATATATTTGCAGTTTTTTTTTTAATATTGCTTTCAATAAAAGAGATTTTATAAAATGTATCACATTCACCAAACATTCTAACACCTGATTCAGTACAGCGTTTCTATATATGAATAATGCAGTGGGTCTACACTTTACACCACATGCATTTGGTGATTTGCTTAGGACCGACTCCACCGTTGTGTTAAACGAAGTTTAAAATGACATTTTTACACTAACAATGTCATTTTAATCTCCGTTTAACACAACGGTGGAATCGGTCCTTAGAGTGCCTGTAATCCACTAGACTTAGATTATCAACCGACTAATTGAATCGAGTCGGTAGCGCTTGCTTATATGCTTTTAGCAAGATCTTCCAGAACACTCCAGATTTGTCGCGAGGGTCTACGCACCTCGACGTGTTTAGCCGCCGCCGCCGCCGCGAAAAAAAGGAAAGTGGCTTATTTTTTCTTTCTCCACACTGGTTGCTGGTAGGCGCAGTGTTGCCGCCGCCTTTACTTTAATACAGGTCAAGTAAAAACAGACCAAATAAAAATCTAGATATTTTTAGCTTCGCACTTCGTTTTTGTTTAGTTAAATCTTGGTTCAATTAATTATGAAGCTTTTACAATATTTCACGGCGCCCCTGTGAAGAGGCTGCGGCGCGCAGTTTGGTAATCACTTAACTAGACTTTTAAACTCTTCCCCAACACATTTTTCCTGAACCTTCGATGCAGTTTTCAAACATAAAAAGATCGGTGGAAAATATTGAAAATCGAAAATAAAAGTATCGATGCTATAAATGATCGAATCGTATAAAACGCACCATTAGCCACTGCCACAGTGTGGGTTGACTCATAGAAAAATAAAAAGGGTTGACTGGTTTATTTTGTTATTGTTGACGTAAAATGTTAACATGGGTTAAATCTTGACGGTTTTAAGTGTTATTTTGTAAAATAAATACCATTACCTTTAAGAAACTTGTATATTAATAGATAATGCTAAATTTAGTAACTGTAGTTTATTAAGAAACCAGAACAATGAACATAAAAATTACGAAGGTATTGTTACTTGTGGTTGTGATAGTCATATTATATAAGACACTGCATTATTTGCAATTAAACGGTGAAAAAAATTCTGGAGAAGACACAGACAGTTTGAAAAATGTTAAAGTGTCCGTTTATTATGAAGCGCTGTGTCCAGACTCAAGATTCTTTGTAGCATATCAATTATTGCCAACATATAAAGATTTCCAAAATTATGTGACTTTAGATTTAATACCCTATGGAAAAGCTCAGGTAAGGCATTTATCTATACTTTTAAATTATTTAAAAAATATATAAGGAGTAACCACTAATTATTTTATTAAATAGATTAAATAATCTTACACTTTAGGTGTTCTCCAAAGCCTGAAAATTTTTTGGCAAAGCCACATCACTTTAAACGCTTTTATACTGTTTCAATTACTATAATTTAATCATAAAATATGCTATTTAACATACCGGAGAAAGAAAAAACAAGTTAAAAATTTGAATGATTTGTAATATCACATGTTTATCTAAATGATTAACATTAAAATAGTTTTAATAAAACTCTATGTACTTTTTGCTAACATTAAAAGATTATTGACTTTTTAGACTATAGAGACTGATGGACATATAGAATTCCAGTGCCAGCATGATGCAGTAGAATGTTTTGCTAATAAAATCCATGCCTGTGTGATAGACTTAATAGAGGATCCTCTAGTACAACTAGAATACATATCATGTATGATTAAGGACAATATTATACCAGATGATGCTGGAGAGAGGGTAATTTTGCAATATATTTTCAATGTATCTTTTGCACATATCGTGCTGTTATTAATTGAATATTTGTTTACTAATATTTTTGTTTTAGTGTGGCAAGGAGTTTAATATCAACTATAGCCCTATCTCTGACTGTGCTAATGGTATGGAAGGTATTAAATTATTAAAGAAACATGGAGAGAGGACCAATTCTTTAAAACCATCCGTAACATTTATACCAACCATTGAATTAAATGATAATCAGAATATAGTGCCTCAAGCACAAATTTTAAAGGATTTCAAAAAATCTATCTGTACAGTTCTTAAATATAAGCCTTCCAAATGCTCCTAATTTATGTTTTGTGCCATTTTGGCATAAATCTAGTCAAGACTGTCTTTTCTACAAGATTCAACATTGAAATTTGAATTTGTGACTATGAAATTATTTTTTTTTTCTATTCGTTCTTGCCAAATTATTTTTGTAGCTCCTTGTATTTTAATTTTGTGCAAATAAATCCTTTCATATGTTTAGTTTTTAATTTGTAACAATATTTTCCTGAATTTTTTATTTATTTGTTTATACACTATTCAACAAGTTTTAACCCAATTACAGAACAGGAGTACATTCGGAAGAAAATATATTATGTTTAATAACAAAAAGGTATAGACAACTAAAATTGCAGTAACTAAATTCTAAATTATTTTAAGTAGTGTTTTTTTGTTTTTAATACTGAAATTAAATATATTCAACTACTCACTAATAGTATTATAATTATTACATTATGTTATATACAGGTGAAAACTTCAGAACGTTTGTTGAAAAAGTTGCAGTGTAAAATGATTCAGTGTTTGAGAGGGGAAATTCTAAAACTAAGCATATGTAAAAGAGCTTCACAATTTATTTTGAAATTAACTCATGAGGATTTGCCCTAATCTTCATGATAAGCGTGTTTCAATATCTTTTTGCAAAAAAGACTTATACAATTGCATAAAAAACTTAGATAGGTATATACAAATTATTTGAAAATATCTCAAATTTTGTGAATAGAGTAGTCCAATCCTGGCTTCCTAGATTCAGAAAATATAATAAATACAGGGTGCCCCAATGAAAAGTAGTCCGTTTCCATTTGATAAAATTTGGTTACGGTGAATTTAAAAGAGGAGATTTTTTAAAAACACCCTGTATAGGTAATACATAATTTCTGTGTCACTGAAGCAAAATAACACATAGCAAAAACTGCATGTTTCTACGATTTGTTTAAAAGTTATAAGCTCTGGAAATGGGCTACTTTTCATTGGGACACCCTGTATATTTATGATTTAATTTTATTAAGATTGATATAACTGTTTGAAATGTATGGAAAAAAAGTCTCTAACTCTATACAAAATTATTTTATGACCAAATAATATTCAATATTCTAATATTTAAAAGGCCCACCCAAACCAACAAAACGTTCTTGCATAATTTTTAAAATAATGGGCGTGTAATTCCAGAGAAACTACGCATGAGTAATGAAATAAACAATGAATGGAGGAATGGACTGTTCAAATTTCCACCACAAGGTGTCGTTTACATAAATTCTGTAAAATAAGAGAATTTATAGAATGTGGTTATAGAAATAAACATATCCACATGATGTTAGAATAAGTGGGTAATAATTGTCATATTGTGTTAATTAAATCTTAAAAAAATGGATTTGTGAAATTTGATGGTTTGAAAGTTTCAACGTAATCATGTGAACGCAGCTTCGGTTCCAGCCCACGTGTGATGCTGTGGCATTTGATAAAATTTGGGTGTTCTGTGAAACGGAATTTTACATCTCTGCGCAGTCAGGTAAAATCGGCTGTCCTGTCTGGCAGAAAACCAATATGGAGTGGATTATTTCATTAAAAAAAGTGATCTGATGGATTGTTTTTTTAGTTTACGTGTGTGTAGGTTGATTAGACGATCAAGTAGTATTTTGGAAATAATCCTGAACACGTAATATGCGATAGTGGCTCTAGTTCCGTTAGATGACCGCGATAGGAACATGATACATGTCTAAAATACCCGTGGATGTCAAGATTGTCAAGTGAGAATTTCCTGAATTATTTTCTATGTAATTACAACTTGTTAGTTTGTTTATTTAATTATAGTTGATTGAGAAGGAAAAAAGCCTAACAATTTCGTTATTTTTAGGTAGAAATTGCTACGGGATAACAGCATTATGGGGAAGTTACTATCAAAGATTTTTGGAAATAAGGAGATGAGGATATTGATGCTTGGTTTGGACGCGGCTGGAAAGACAACAATACTGTACAAACTCAAATTAGGACAGTCTGTAACCACCATACCTACAGTGGGATTCAATGTGGAAACAGTGACCTACAAAAATGTCAAATTCAATGTGTGGGATGTAGGAGGACAAGATAAAATCAGACCTCTTTGGCGACACTATTACACAGGAACCCAGGGTTTGATATTCGTCGTAGATTGTGCAGATAGAGATAGGATAGATGAAGCTAGACAGGAACTTCATCGCATTATTAATGACAGGGAGATGAGGGACGCAATAATACTCATTTTTGCTAACAAACAAGACTTGCCAGAAGCTATGAAACCTCATGAAATCCAGGAAAAATTGGGCTTGACACGAATTAGAGATAGAAATTGGTATGTGCAGCCCGCATGTGCTACCACTGGAGATGGCTTGTATGAAGGGCTTACTTGGCTGACAAGTAATCACAAATTATAGCACCCTGGTACACATTCATTTTAGTACATGACTACAACCAGCACTTGTGATTTTCCTGAAAGGAAATTTCATTGTGACCTCAACATTCCAGAAAAATTTTGTCAAGTTATATGTCTTGGAAGTGCAGGTAATTCTATGTGAAATTGATCAGAAAGAAGTTGATATTATGGATTTAATAATTGTTTTTAGGATGTTTGTTCCTTATTAAATTTTTAAACAAATATCCCTAACATGAATACAAATCCATGACATTAAAGGTGAATGTTTATGTATTGATTGATCTGAGATAGAATGACCAGTGGATGATGACACTAAGCATATCTTGAAAATTGACAAAATAAGGTTCTCTCTGACTTAAATAAGTGCTGTTGATAGTTAATTAAATATAATTTCGTTTTGATTATATGTTTTGTACAAAATTTAAAGTTAAAATTTTGTTTATTCCCATATTTTGTATGTATATGAGAGCAGATAAACTATGATTATGGTGAATTTCAAGAAATATTTCCATTCAAGCTGCCAGTCCACTGTTCTGTCTGAACTTAAAAGTGTAAATTGTGTAGTGTAGATGGTGGCAGTGTAATTTAGTTATCCTGTTATGAATGGTTGTGACTTTGACCATAGGTATCCTTGTTCTTGAAATTACCTCATATGTATTTTGTAAATAAATTATTAGTATTATTGTATTGTTTTATAATGTGAAATATTGTTGCTACAGTTTAAAATCTTCAGTATAATTTTTTAAGCATGGAGCTGCCATGTTGATGGTTTTTCTCTATATTTTCAGATAGAAAACCACCCTATTTATTTCTATTTGCACTGTAATTGATTTTAATTAGAATCATCTGAAAATGGTAGAGATTTTTATTCAACATGGTAGTTTTAAATATTTTGGTACAAAATTGAGTGTTATATATATATTTTTCGTTTCTATATATTATATATGTATAACTAATGCAAAAATTACTAAATATTTATATATACATGATAATTTATATTTTTCACAAGAATAGTAATATTTTTTATGTATGTATCCAGGGTGTATTCTCTTTTGTGTTATTTTGGCATTAAACATTTGTCATAACCATTTCCTAAACAATAGGGACAGAGAAAAAATTTTAGAATACTCTTGGATACATATGTAAATTAAAATTTTTAAATGTTTGCTAAATTTATTCCGCTTTTATTTTTCTTTTTATTTCATGGATATTGCCAAAAAATACCTTTCGTATATAAGTAAAGACTGAATAGATATAAGGTTTTCCTCACACAGTATATTTCAATCCTCTTTTTTAAATGCTTTAAAACACATTTTACAGTTTGTTTCCATTAAGTATATTCCTATTATGAAAATACAACTCAGTTTTATAGTTTATATTTTTAATAGATTCTATAGACACATTGAATTTTTCATCACTGTCTTGGATTTTAACCCAATAATAAATACTGTATTCATTGACAGTGATATGGAGATAAAGCCAATAACTCATAGTTTATGTAATAAGAAACCTTTTTGAAGCAGCACATAGATGTAGTTTGTTATTTAGTTCTGCATTATACAAAATCACAAATTAAGACCTCTCAATACGTCCAATTGATTCAATAATTTTTTTATTTAATTAAATTTTAGTCAAAATATACTCCAAAAAAAATGTATACAGAGTGTTCCATAAAGTTGGATCCATTTGGGAAATTTTTAATATCGGGATTGGAAAAACATATTAAAGTTGGCTAGGTACTGCATTTAGTTATCTGTCAAATTCAGTATTTAAAAAAAAATTAAATTCGAATCTGACTGAAAAATAATGTCAGTAACCAACTTTAATATGAGCTGTTTTAAGTTTTTAAATAAGCAGAGATAATTGCCCTACGATGTTTTTTTCTAATCTTAATATTAAAAAAAAATCCCATATGGTTCCAACTTTATGGTGCACACTGTATATTAGTAAGATAATGCAGATCAATGTTATAAATACGGGGTAATAAACTTGAGGTATTTATTTTGGAAAAAATGTTTTATAAATATTAGTGACTCCAATAATTGTTGTGTATATAACTAAAGAATTAGAGTTTTCAAAATATTATTTATTTTGTTTAGACTATATTATTCAACAAATATTTTAATAAACTCATATATTATGTAATAACGGTAATTTTAAAATCAATAAACTTTTCATTCATTAAACGAGATTATTAACATATTTGTCATTGATTTTATAACACTATCTGCAGAAAAAAAAAAGATGAAATAACTATAAAGGTTATTTAATGAAAATTTTTTTAATGCCAGTTATAAACGTTAAATGAACAAATTAATTATTAAAATATCTATTTATATAAATATATTAATTATGATTTAGAGAAGCGATATTTTAACACCCCGTATCATTTTGAATAGCAAACTTTTAGAGAGGTCTTTTTGCCTGTTTAATATTTGTGTTGAGTAGTAAATTGATATTTTTCGATGAAATTCGTACTAGAACAAAATAAGTGAGCACGGGCTTAGTAGAAATAATTAGAAAAATAAAGAAAAATGATGAGATTAATATAGAGTAATTATAAAATAATAATTTCTCATGCTAATTTGCTTAACATATTTTTAAGAATTTTAGGTTCCTTATTCTTTTTTTTTTGTATAATATGTTTGCAAGGTAAAAATATTTTATGTATATGTAACTAACTGATATCGTTTTTAGGTAAAACAATTATTAAAATTATGTAAATTATTTAGGCTAGTTATGAAAATTCGAATCAATTTTTATTGCCAAAAAAATGTTACTTCCTTTTTAAAAGAAGTTTTTTCAAACTTATATTTTTTTTTATTACAACCTTATTTTTTTGTGATATCATACACCTTTTCCAATAAATGCGAGGCAATATTAATAAAAATCTAAAAGCAAACTTAATTTTATTCCATCTCTTAACCACACACACACCTATTTAAATAATTTTTACTCTGAAGTGTTGAAGAATCTAAGTGCATTTTGAATTTTTCTTAGTAATAATATGTTTGCCAAAATGGCATAAAAAATTAAAAAATAAAGTATAAATGTCAAAACATTTTATACAATTAACAATAATTATTTATCAAGTGCCTATTTTTAGAATTCACGATTTGATAGGGAACATAATATCAAAGTAAGTACATAATTTATAATACTAATAACCTTCACGATTTTTTTAAAAAACGAATGAGTAAAATTGTTCATGTAAAAAACAAACGATTTTGTGATGATATATAAATTGTATTTTACTGTAGAGATATGTACAATAATTAAATAATATTTGAGGACCTTAGCCTCTTCATCGTTGATATTTCCATCTGTGATATCAATAATTTGTATTTTTATTGATAACGATTTTATAATTATTCATCTAATGAATTTTGTAATTAGATCAAAATTGAATATCTTACATACATACATATATTGTTAATTATCAGATTATTTATAAACGTATTATTTATTAAATAATATATGTCATAATTGCGTGATAGTATCTGAGAATTGTGTGACATGTCTTGATTACGTGCTAATTAATTAGTCACATTTGTGCAATATTATTCGTAATTGTATGATAATATTCATAATTGCGCGTCAACTTACAATAATTGTGGGATAAATCACAATTGCGCGCGATTACTTATATACAATTGTGATTTTTTTATTAAAAAGCTGGCCCAAAAGAAGCTTTTGTATAAAAGTGTAGATGGATTTCAACATATTACACATTTGTCATTATTTTTTGTTATGAGTGGGTCAAGAGTCATATGTTATTAAAGCGCTTATTCACCTATATAGGGTTTTTGTCCGCGACTGTAGATTGCGAGACCGCCACTTCTGCGGTAGATAATCGCAAAAAGGGTCCTTTTAACATACCCCCTCTGGCACCGAATGAGATAAAGAAAAAATTAAAACAATATATGGGATACATCCAATAATTAAGTAGAGACTTTTGTTTGCATATTTGCTATACTTTTTGCTCAATTAAAAAGTGATATCACCAGTGGCCTAGTCGACGAGGAGGATACTTATGAAAGGTACACACACCCTATATATATAATATAAATATATATTTCTATAAGAATACAAAAAGCAGAAATATTACAATGCATTCTAATAGAAATATATATGTGTATTAAGTATATATATTCAAAAGTAGCCTCCCACGAGCCGCGCCTGATGATCACAAGTTTGTTAATTACTGTCTGATGCTCGCACCAAGTTTTTTGTTCTGTCTGGTAGACTTTAAAAGGGATTCTTTCAGCACTACACAGTATTACTTCTCCAGTGTTTTATCACAAATAAATCACTGGAACGAGTTCAAAAAAATCAGTGGCTTATATCGATATCCATGTTTCTTTATTATTAAAGGTACATGAATAAAATCTCTGTATCATATATAAAAAAATAAAACTGGTACTGAATATCTACAATATATCGAATGTAAGAACATACTACACTATATCTGCTACTAATACGTACAACAAAATGCTATACACTACCGCCATGGACGCTTAATAATCACGCAAGTTTTAAGGTTTAATAGAAATATTACTAGTAGATACTACAGCGGTTGAATATTTTCTTTGTGAATAATATTGCTCTTAGGGATAAACTAAGAAATTCCACGTGCATCTACACACTGGAATATATACTTTTGAATGGCCTATTTTTTTTATCATCTGTGTGTTTTTAGGTATGTCTTCAAAGGAACATAATATTATGGCTAGTGTATCAATATAATCATAAAAAATCTAATGGTATAACATCCGTTTTTAAATTAAAAATACGTCTCAAAATACCTCTCAAGATCTATATTTTTAAATCATTCAAAAAATTGCGCCTTTCTGCAGATTGACGTAAGTCAGTGGAGCCAATATAAATTTGGTTGGATTCCTCATCGACATAGGAGCTTTGATTGGCCTGTTAAATTTGAATTAACTAATTACATTTTAATAAGTGATAATTGCGTCAATGGTAATTTGCATCTGAATCATGCATTAATGTTTTTACAGGGTTGCCAAATTTTTTATTAGATTGTAATCTCATGATTTATTTATTTTACGTTTAAAATGGCTATAATCATATATACCTTTATTCAGATCAGACCACCATTCAGACGATAGTAATTTATTTAATTGCTTTCAATCTTCAAATCAAGGGCGGCTATGTCACACACCCACCCCCAGAAAAATCTTTATAATCCGCGAGTATGGCTATAATGGGCCCTTCCTAAAATACGGCCTGGAGCCGCCTTTGCTCCAAATTATAAATAATATACTAAATTATTTAAGAGGAAGGAATGGTATTGCGGCTCATGTAAATATTAGTCTTAGAAAATGAGCATTCCTTGCTAGTTGAACACTACTTTTTCTGTAGCAAAAAAACGCCGCTGCTACTCATTTTTAGTTTTTATAAAATTAAAATAAGAAAATGCACCCTATTTCTCAATCAATAGTTGAGAAATTGTATAGCTGTGAAAAAAATAAAATACATATTTTAAACTAACTTGGTGCGATTTATTGAATTTTTCAAATTCTAAAGATATTTTTGAATATTTCGCCATAAATTTAATAAAATGTTAATTACTCAGGAAACAAATTTGACCACAGTTCAAGTAGTCTCTCAAAGTTATTTCCATGGTCTATTCTATTATTGAAATTAATTTGGCAACCCTGTTTTTTTGGAATCTAGTGACGGATGACTTATGACATGAGTAATTACATTACAAAAATGCAATTTGAGAAAATATTTCTTCGAACAATTTTTTATTATGCAGTTAAAAAATTGTGGAATTTAGATAACATATTAAAAATAAGATTAATAAATAGTTTTTATTTGAAGTTGAACAATGATTCAAAGAATGAGATTATTATGATAGGTAATTTGTATTTCCTTTAATCAAAGTTATTTTCAAACAATAGTTTTAAGACTCTTTAAAAATAAAAAATTTTAATTGACAGAATACACTTTTAGCCTGAAAAGAGAAAAAGGAAAATAAAAGTTTTAATTATCAGAAAACCAGTTTATTGTTTTTCTGAATAAGTCAGAACCATGTTTAATTTACAGATCACAAAAGTCAGTTTTTTTTATAAAATAAGTTTGAACTCCAACGTAAAAGGATAATATATAAAAAGTATATAAATGGAGTTTACGAAGGCTATTTCTTCTTCTGTGCTTTTTCTGCTGCTTTTGTGACTTTTCCGGCGCTGGGGTCCTTGAAGGCGACAGACTTGATGACACCTACGGCTACAGTCTGCCTCATGTCACGAACGGCGAAACGTCCTAGAGGTGGAAATTCTGAGAATGATTCTACACACAATGGCTTGGTGGGTACCAAGTTGACAATGGCAGCATCTCCAGATTTGATGGCTTTGGGATTTTCTTCAGTGGCCTTTCCAGAACGACGGTCGACCTTTTGTTTAATTTCAGCGAATTTGCAGGCAATGTGGGCTGTGTGACAATCTAGTACTGGGGTGTAACCGTTTGAGATTTGTCCAGGGTGGTTGAGGACAATAACCTGAGCGGTGAAGTCTGAAGCTCCCTTGGGTGGATTGTTTTTGGAGTCTCCTGCGACGTAACCACGACGCAATTCTTTGACAGATACGTTTTTTACGTTGAAACCAACGTTGTCTCCGGGTACGGCTTCAATGAGAGCTTCGTGGTGCATTTCTACGGATTTTACTTCAGTAGTAATGTTAGCTGGGGCGAAAACGACTACCATACCGGGTTTTAATACACCAGTTTCCACACGGCCTACAGGTACTGTTCCAATACCACCAATTTTGTAGACATCCTGTAACAAAATAAATCATTAGATTATATAAAAAAAAACATATATAAAATAATGGGTATAATAGATTCTTTCAGAAAAGATTAAGCCTATAAGTAAATCATATTTTTCATATTATTTAATTTTGTCATCATAGAAGTGCTACATTTATTTTGTTAATAATGTTTAAATGGTGTTAAAAGCTTGTTTACCTGAAGTGGAAGACGTAGAGGTTTCTCAGTTGGACGAGAAGGTGGGAGGATGGCATCCAAAGCTTCAATCAAACATTTACCATCAGCCTTTCCTTCTTTACGTTCAACTGCCCATCCCTTGAACCATGGCATCTTCTCAGATGGCTCCAACATGTTGTCTCCATGCCAACCAGAAATTGGGACAAAAGCAACAGCAGCAGGGTTGTAACCAATCTTCTTAATGTATGAGGATACTTCCTTCTTGATTTCCTCAAAACGATTTTCACTGTATGGGGGCTCAGTGGAATCCATTTTGTTAACACCAACGATAAGTTGTTTTACTCCAAGAGTGAAAGCAAGGAGAGCATGTTCACGAGTTTGACCGTTCTTTGAAATACCAGCTTCGAATTCACCAGTACCAGCAGCGACGATGAGTACAGCACAATCAGCTTGGGAAGTACCAGTAATCATGTTTTTGATGAAATCTCTGTGACCAGGGGCATCAATGATGGTTACATAGTATTTAGCAGTTTCAAATTTCCACAAAGCAATATCAATGGTGATACCACGTTCACGTTCAGCCTTAAGTTTGTCGAGTACCCATGCATATTTGAAGGAACCTTTTCCCATTTCCTGGGCTTCTTTTTCGAATTTTTCGATGGTACGTTTGTCGATACCACCACATTTGTAGATCAAGTGTCCAGTGGTGGTAGACTTACCAGAATCTACGTGTCCAATTACGACAATATTAATGTGAACTTTTTCTTTACCCATTTTGACCTATAACAATAATATACAATCAACACGTGCAAAACTTTCTGCTCATAAATAACTTTAATCGAATCCGAAATTACCGGTTAATTCGAACAAAGCCGACAAACAACAGGTGGATATGAACTGAACATGCATGACCTTTTTGAAAAATTATCATCCAATACAAATTTTTCATAATAAATTACCAATTTCGTGCAATATATTAACAAAAACTAAAAAACGAACACTATATTGCAAAGAAATAACTCGAATCAAACTAATTTGAAGTAAATTAAGCATATGGCGGCCATTTTACGAAAGTACAATGTACACGTGGTGAGCAAATATTCTTCTTAAATTCCTCAAAAACTACGCAAAAATACTAAACTTGCAAAAAATATAAAGGTGTACTTACGGTTTGGAATTCTTTAAATGCAACTGTTGAAATAAAACTTAAAATTTAAAGTAACACGAACTTGAAATTTAACAACTTAACGGCTCGGCAACTGCACGGTGTGACGAGCTAGTTAGAAAGGAAGATAATCTCAAGTTGCGCTCTGCTTCACTTCTCTCTACCCTCGATCGGCTCCTGACGGACGTCGTCACATCCTCTATGCTACCGCCATCTACTTTCTCTTTTAAAAACAACCGCGAAAATACATTTCTATTATTCTCGTTCTAAATAACAATAACGGCTCAGTTTAGTTTTTCTAGTGACACTACTATAGATGATCTTTAAATACTTTTTCTTTACAACTATTTAAAAATGTAAAACTACTTCAATATATTGTTAGTTAGTGGGACATCTATGAATATATGTAACAGTCGGGCACTTAGCGGAGACGATATAACGATTCCTTTTTTTCGAAGGCTTGTCGTTGTCGGGAAAGGACGATAGTCGATTACCCAATGTCCTGAAAGATTCCTACAATTCCTATAAGAGTTTTCCTCAGGAACAATCTGATTGAATTTCCAAATTGATAACCCAAATGTAGGTATAGTAGCAGTTAACTACCTTTTATGATTATAATAAAATGTTTATTATGTTATAGATAACGGTATTAGAAATCCTAAAAATGCAAAAACCGTTTTGAACTAAAATTGTTTTAAATATTTGATTTTGTAATAAAAATAATTTTATTGTATATTCTGAAAAGTAATATGTAACGTAAACAAGGTGTCTGAAATGTTACAAAAAAGTTCTGCAAACTCTCCAGTATTAAATTAGGTAAAACTTGTTTTCTTGGAATTAATTCTGAAATATTTTTTTCTATTGCGTGATAACAAAGGTTATAACGTTTTTATATAGCTAGTTTTGAAATTATTTTTAGATACATCTAAATGCGGAACTAAACATTTCTAAAATTAGTTTAGAGATCCCTCACATTCGTTGATCCCAAATTGTTTTCATTTCAGTAAACTTGACGTTAAGACATCCTTAGATTATCCGATGTTTCTGTCTTTGTTTTTCGTTTTAATATTGATTTTTATGTAACTGTTATTTAATGAGACCATACCTATTTTTGCGTAGGTTGCGTAATTTGAGTTTAGAAATTAAATCCGTTGTTATATTTTTGAAGAAATCTTGAACAACTGATTCAGTAATTCCCAAACTTGCTAAGTCTCCCTAATTCAAAGCATACCTAATAATTACATCTTGCAAACTTTGAGAATCTCAAAGTTTCTTACGCTCTGCGTCTCCTATCAGTTAAGCAGACTTGTGACCATTGTGCATACATTGCAGATTATTGTGGTATAATATGTCGTCTCTGTAGCACAGTCGAACGGCCGGTATTCCTTTTCGGGTCTTTTAATGTCTACAGTTAAAAATTAGTAATATAATAGATATATCTTCTCGGTTGCGCAGTGTGTTAGGCGGCAGGTATTCATTTACGGGCCTTTAACTAGTTTATTAGTAATACGCACACGGCTTCAGATCAAACCCTGTGGATTTTCAATTAATTTATGATGCGTTGCAGGATTTGATGGGTGTCTTATTAGCAGTAATTTAATTTATGTTAATATGTTATCCAGATCATAAAACGCAGTGCATTACCGTTTAGATGATGGTGGGTGAGATTTTCCTCACTTGTAAGTCAAGGCACCAGCAATCATCTGTAAGCCACCCTTGGCAGGTAATCATAGTAACCGTCTCTTCCCAAGGTCTAAAATTCACTCGTAAAGGGATGACTTATAGGGAGAGTATTATTATATTGTAGTATGAGAATATGACGTAGACCGAGTTCATAGATTATTAAAGATCCTCTGGCTGTAACATCAGAGAATCAATAATTAAGACTCAAATAACATTTAGACATGTATAAGAGTGTGCGTTTTTAATGTGATATATAATTTCCGAAAAAAAGGTGTAGTTACTAATAGCTTTTCAATTGTCATATTTTTGGAGATAAAAATTATCAACAAAAATAAAAAAAACTCAAATATAATATAAAAATATATTAATATAAAAATATTTATAAACCCTTTACAAGGCACTATCTTTTGGCTTTATATTTAAAACCGAAATATTGCCTAGAAATCACAACCAGTACAAAATAGACTTGAAAAATTTGAAACGTCCTCAAGAGAAATTTTATACTTGTAAACTCTAAGAGATCATTACTACTACAAAATTTTAAAAACACAACAAATATACAAAAAAAAAATATACTGAACAAACTCAAATGTTCGTTAACACGTAATACATTCTGTATAATAAAAAACAATTCACTGGTAATTCTGACATATATGTTACATTTGAGTATGAGATAAATTGTACTAGAAACACTCTAAGATACAAAAATATGAATTTTTAGATATTTCAATTATTTAAAATTGAACATAAATTAGCTTAATTGCTATTGAAACATTTAATAAAAATATTTCTTAATTAGGAGACATTTATCTTTGTACTAGTTGTTAAATGATAAATAACAATTGTAACTAATTGTGTATTTTCTTGTCAATTATAATGAAATTAATAGTTAAAGATAAAATGTCTATTTTGCTAAATTCTTGAAAAAAAAAAAACAATTATTATTGGGTGTAATTAGGAGCAAAAAACCTAATTCAATTATAACTAATTGGGTCTTATTTAATCCAGTCTATTATAAAAAATACGATTTATTTTAGATTTTTTTCTACTTGTATCAAATTATCTGTCAATTACAATTATTGACAATTTTTATTATTTTTTGATCAAATTAATACTATTTAAAGCCAATATGTTAAATTGTACTGATTTATGAAAAACACATAGGTACAAATGGACCCGGTTATGTAATTGTAAATTAAGCGACATTTACGTGTTTTCGAGAAACGGGAATAGAAAGCTGGTATTTCCTTGGCAAATATGAAAATGTCGCTCAATACACATGTCCCTAAAATCGGTAAAATACTGAATTTTAACTAAGAATAAGTTTAAGTTTCAATGATTATTAAAGGATGGGGCACTATTTACTTGATTTTGGAATTTTGTCACTTAATTCGTTATTGCATAATTATTTTTAATAAAATGGAACTGTCAATAAATATATTGAAATAGATAAGATTTAGATGATACAATACTTTTAATTAAAAATTATTAATATTACTACTAATTGTCTATTAAAGAAAACTATCCAAACAACACACATAAAAAGGAGCAGTAAGTGTAGACAGTGGCAAATGGAAAGAATTATAAACATATTTGATATAATGAATGTTACCAAATCAGTATGTAATTAAGTACAAGTAGAAAAGTTAGAAATATTCTAAATGACAGTGGAAATAAAACTATTGAAATATCTTAAAAATTGCGCAGGTATCTAAATTGGCAAAACAGTTGGTTCAAGTTTCCAGTACAATTTCTTTTTAGAAAACATAGAAATGGTATTGTTAACAATTACAATCGAGCTTAAACAAACTATAATAAACAAACGGCGATATATTAGTGTGAAAACAATTTCAATGGTCAAAACTTGAAAATTTATGATAAATTTAAATTTTCGTATTTAATCATATAAATAAACAAGAGAAAGACACTTAACCAAACAATGTCTCCAAATAACAAATTTTATCTTTCATGTGCAAGTGATTATGAAGTTTACTTTAAACTTTAAAATTATAGATAAGCATTGTTTTATCTATTCGGGGCAGAGTATCAAAAATATTTTTATTTTAAATATTCTACATTGGCATACACAAACAATAAGTCAATTTTGCACATTCATAACATTGTTATCTTTTAAGTTCAGTCTTAAAACTTTTTAATATGCGTTTTGTATACGGGATGACCCACCAGTTCAACAATTTTTTTTGCAAAATATGGGGAAAAAATAGTAATGTGTTGCACCATGCCTGCAGAGTGATTAGAGAGTATATTGAAATTATTTAACTGTGCGGTGGGGTCCAGTATTTTAAAAATTATACTGAAATATTTTCAGTAATTTCAAACAAGACATAAAAAACTAGTACAATTACAATTTCCCTTATTGTCTATAAACTATTAAAAACATTAAATATAAAAAAAATATGTACAAATATAATAATCTTGTACTCCTTTTACTATTTATATATATTTATAAAAAACTACTAAACTAGGGTTGCAGTTGACCTATTTTTCGGATTCGTTCCTGCATTGTTATTATTCTGCCTCTGTTCCTTGTACCAAGCATTCATTTCATCAGAAAAATGCTCAGAAACCGCCAATTGGTCTAAATTCAGACTTGTGTTTAAATTCACAGAATTATCCAAGCTCGTTGAAGTACCAGCACTGCAAAAAAAAAATTCTTTGTTTCTTAAAACTGATTACAATATATTTATTGTTTGTCCTATGTAAAACTACCGGCTGTACTCTCACAGCTAGATCCCTCTGGTTGAAACAACAGAGGGGATGACAAAATTTCTAGTATGGGTGTAGCGTACTCAGTGATTAAATATCGATATTAAAAATTATGAAATAAAAAAATATATTAAAAAAAATTTCAACTACAAAATATATTTCAGTTTGGCCAAAATCATGAGTTGGAATTCTAATGAAATAAATTATAGGTAAACAAATATGAAATTAATAATGAAGCTATAAGGGGAAAAACAGACGTTGTCACAAAACTGACTTACTGAGAAAATTAAGTTTATAATTAATATTATTACCAAATCCTATGTTAGTCACAGAAATAGATAAAACTGCACGTTAATATATTTAACTGTATGGTTAACTTTTTAGAAAAGAATTTAAACGTAAGATTATTATATTCAGGTTAAAAAAAAATAAACGTGACAAATGATTTCCATTTTATAATTAATCTAAAATGAAGAGATTTTCACCTGTATAACAATGTTTCATAAAATTCGTTAGTATTTGGGCGACAAAAACGTTTTAGTACTTGCAAATTGTTGTATTTAGCCTAGACAACGTCGATTTTTTTCGAGTAATGCGCGAACGTCCATTTTTAACCATTATGATTATTTTTAAATGTCTATTATTCGGACCTTGTTTGTTTTATTTGCTTACAATTTAGCATGTGTTTGTGACTCGGTATCATATACATAACACGTTGATTACTTAAAAATTCCTATAAAATGGACATCGTTGATTTTGTCCCCTTACCCTTCAATTGAGACTGAATTTAGGTTTGAAAATTGATTCAGCTTATTAAAATTTATATATAGTAATCGTAATATGTTTTCTAAAAATATTCAAATATCCATCCCTATGTGAATTACTAGTTTTAACTTTGTTGACTCTGTTTATGAACCAATCCAAAAAGTACAAAGCATTTGCTTAAGACTCATATACGGTACATAAGAAAACATTAAAGGATATTATATAAACTTAAATGATGGTGGATGAGGTTTTCCTCACCTGTAAGTCAAATGGCACCATCAATCATCTTTAAGTCGCCCCGGAGCGCCACGGCAAATAATAATAATAGCCGTCACTTTCCCCGGATAATCTCAGCTTTTGGGGTTAAAATTCACTCGTAAGGGGTTAAATTAGGGAGAGTATTATTATTAAACTTGAAAATCAATTGGTTGGTTAAATGTGAAAAATAGACGAATTCATCATACAATTGCTCTATAAACTCCGTTCCATTAGGGAAAAGTACATTTGCATCATAGGCATATTTCTTATTTGTAGGTTAACACAAAACTAGTTTTATTTTGTTGGATTTTGATAAATATAGTTGTTTTAATGCTTTCAAATACCTTAAAACTTTCAAATCCCTTATCACAAATTATTTGGATATTGAAAAAGTAGAAAAAAAAAACGCAATACTGACTTAATTGTTTATTTTAGTTTATAAATGCTTGGAAAAAGATTGTTAACATCCTGGTTAAAAGGTTTATTCAAATTAGAAGCTTATGTCATTGCTTCTTATACTGGAAAAAATCAGTGATGAATGCTATAATACATATAAAACTTGAATGTTATAATTTTTACAGAAACATAATTATTATGAAGATCATCTGATACTGTAATAAAAAAAAATACCTATTAGTAAAATATGGTTGGTGTTTGGAGAAAAACAATTAATAAAATACCATGTTAAAAGTAATTTTATTTCATGAAATGTCAGTTTTAACACAAATATCGTGGGCTTACTGTGATTTGAGTGAATATGACCAAATCATTTTCTTGTTAAAGTCATATTAATCGAGTTTATTTAGTACTTTGAGGCAGTATAAATATGACTTAGTAAGTTTTTTTTTGGTAAATCTTTCTTTAACAAGTGAATTGGTCATACTAACTCAAATAATATAAAATTTGACATGGGTCACTTTTGGCAGCAAACCCACTACTTACCTGAATCGCATGGTTTTTAGTAGTCCCCATAAAGAAGTTTTACAATATACTTAATAAAACTATTTTTGTTAGGATAGCTATCATAACAGATTTTGTTATTTCTGTCGAAACTTACATTTTAAAGTAGGATCCCTTTTTCCACGATTTAAAAATTATAAATTATATCCCGAGTTCTTTACTGTTTTCCACATTTTAATGCTTCCAGTTATTTTATTTTTTTGAGGAGATCCAAATGATGTAGATGCTCCTCTTTCAATATCTAATTGTTTCTTTTTAATTTTGATGTATGTAGTTTTTCTCAGACAAGTTTCTTTCTGCAATTTAAAAATACAAGTATTAACAAACAACATTTACACTGTAACAGTATAAAATTTCGCCCAAAAATAATTGTAACTTCTTTAGTGTACCAGTATACTTTTTATTATACTTACCAATGATTTTTTAAAAGAACTTCAATTCCAGTTCAGCTTCGGACTGCATAACAGTTGCAACATGTTTTACAATTTGTCTGCCTTGGCTGTGGATAATTTTTCATCTACCACCAATAAGTTTTAAATAATTATTTATATAAAACACACAGCACTAACTTATAATGAAAAATATCAAACAAACTCTTCCAAACACAACTAACTACACAACCTCGAACATCAAAGATAAGTAAAAAGATGGCCTCTAATCCTGGCTAACGTCTACAAATTATAAATCACGGTACGCCAGTAAGATAATCCTTGCTAGGCACTGCAACTGAACTGTCATCATATATGACGTAAATGTACTTCTCCATAATAGAACGGTGTCTACCACAAAATTGTTCTGTATAAAATATCCTTTAGGACAATTGTTTAGATCTTAAACTTAAGATCTAAAGATTTAGTATCGCCACCCTCAATTTAGAATCGAATTATTCAAATGATCGTTTTTCAATTGTATTGTTCCTATAAAATTTAAAAATCTTATCATTCCTACTTTCAAATCTAGTAAAAACCTTTTTATTTAGCAAGCAGAGCAGCTACATCTCAAATTGTTTTACCTATTCTCTCTAAAATATTTTTAAATGTTTCTAGATCTGAGTAAATCCGTTTATTGTTTTATATTTTTTCCCTTATATACATATACTCGTAGGTGCCATCATTGAATTAAGTGGAAGAAATTCTCTTGTTCGTAATTAATATTTTGTTTACAATGTTATATGTTATCATGGAAATAATAAATACCTTTTATTATTATTATTAATAGTATTATATGTTACCTGTGTTGCTGAAAACTGGGTGAATATGAACCTTTGGATTCATCAAATTTTTTATTTAAATTTTGTTGACTGGTGCCAACAACATGTACTTTTTCATTTTCGCTCTTCGTTGGAGACTTCTTAAATTTCGTGGAATACTTATAAAAATCGGACATTTCAAAGGGTTTGGTCTCTTCATGGTAGGGCTTACAATGACCTGCTTGGACTATAGTGCAGTTTTTCGGTATAGTATTATTAAATAATTCAATGTGCGGCTCCCTAGATTTTGTGGATGGATTGGATTCAGCTGGTATTTCTTTGGGGACCTTTTCTTCAGAAGAAAATGTTGGTATAGTGGGCTGAGAAGAAGACAATGGTGGCTGAGGTGTGGGCACTGACACAGAGCCTTGTGGAGATGTAGCTCGATGTGGAGATATAGGACCACCTATGGTCATAACTGGACCATCTAGTGAAGATTCCAACCTGGAGAAATAAAATTCTGATTTTATCTATTGCTTGAAATTAAATATTAAAAAAGCAAAGAACATTCGCTTCCCTATAAATCTAATTAAAAATGATTGTGTAACTTACCATTCTTTTTCTTTGTGCTTCTTTAGAGTTTGATTGCATTCAAGGCTTCTGCTATCACTACCATAAGATGAGCTGTCATCTGTGGGATAAACACTATCAACAGTTATAGCCCCAACACTGCCCAATGATTGTGTGCGTACCAGCTGTCCATTATCTTGAGAACGTCTATTCAAAATCTAGATAAAGAAATAAATATAAAATTTGTTTACTTGAATTTAATATTCCCAAAACCTACCTGTGAACTCTTAATTGAAGCACTTCTGACTTGCCCTTGATAATTTGGGACAGTAGACAAAGTAGCTGATTTGTTATCTATATTAGGAGATATTCTACTGGTCAACCTTTTAGTTTTTCTTCTATCCAAGCTACCAAATCTAAAACTATTAAATTGATTCACATTCAATTAATTTTACACCAAAAAATTACCTTTTGTCTCGTTGCCAATTACCATCTATAACACTAGATGAGTACCAAACAAGCTCACCATTGGTAGTTCTCTTCCAATAACCTCCCAAACCTGAGGTTACAACGTTCATTTGTTCATATTGTTGATGAGGTTGTATTTGGTGGTGATTTCTGTACATTACCTCACTGTCATATCTATAACTCTGTCTGTTGAAAGTAGGATAGGAGGGATAGTAGTGAGACTTAGGAGATATGGGAGCTGTAGGACTAGATTGTCTATGATTCAACTCTGAAGTATACTGAGGATGTTGTAATAATCTCTGTTGAGGACTGTATTGAGCTTTCTGTGATACATAATGAGGACTATGCTGAGATGAATGAGGACTCTGTTGGGACAAATGAGGACTATGGGATAATAGAGGACTGTGTTGTGACAGAGGACTGCTTTGTTGATAGGAAAGGTTATTCTGCAAATGCTGATTTGAAATAGGCATTTGTGATGAATTATATGGATAAGGGGAGTGCTGAGGGATGCAATTTGAAGGATACACATTGTTAATATTTTCACGCCTAAAAACAAACAATTTATTATATAAAAATGTCATTAGCTTAAAAGTAAATGTCTCTTAAAATTTAAAATATTGAATCTCTTATAGTGGTTTCCAAAAAAAATATTTTTATATTGGTTAAAACTAATAACAAACCTTTCCATATATGTGTGATATCCATTAAGGCTTAGTCTATAGAACCCACTGGTTAAAATATCGTCAGGTTTATTTGTCTGTCCAAGATAAGGCACTTCGCTCATTCTATAAGACCTTGAAGCATCAGGATGGTATCTAAGCTCCACCCCACCCTCACTAGGTAGATTGTGTTTCAAAGAAATACTGTGTCTAGGATCTTGCTTTCCATTTGTACTCACAGAAATAGTATCATCTAAATGTATACAGTATTAGAACTGATAAAATAATAATCTTCAATAAACTTACCAATGGTTTCTGGTGTTCTTGGTTTCTTTTTCTGTTGTTTTTGTTGTTCAGCTTTTTCCTTAAGAGCAGCTACCTTTTCTTGCAACGCCAAACATTTTTGTTTATGTTTTTGATATTCTGATCTATGCTGTCGTTTCATGGTCTGTATAAACAATCAAAATTAAAGAACATGCACTTTTTTAAATTTTAACTTAGACATCATAAAAACTGTATATCAAAAAGAGTTATTACTAGCTTTATTTTCAATATGTTTTTAAGTTTTAAGATTGGTACAATTTACCTGTAGGTACATTGTATGTTAAAATTATTTATATTTTTTATTCAATGAAATATATTGATCTCTATTGTTATTATTCTAATAATTTTTAAATAAGTATCCCAAACCATACTTGAGTACCTTATTAAATTGTTCAACAGAGTATTTTTATGTTTTTTACCTTGCTCATATTATGTTCATTAGCTAAACCTAAAGCTGCTTCTGCCATGTTGGCGTGTAACTCAATTTGTAGTTCAAAATCAGCAATCATCTCATCTTTATTGCAGCCATTTTTAAAAAGTTTTTCAGGCAATTGATAAGATGTACCTACACGTCTCCTGATAAGAGGAAGAGTTTCTCCAGGTTCTAAGGGCATTTCTGGAGGAGTTATTCCAGTTAATTCAGCCTCCTAAAAACAAATTTTGTTGACAATAGGACTCTAAAGCATCCTTTTTTTAAACAGCTGTACACTATTAATTTTTGTAAATATTTACATAAGCTGTCTACAAAAAAAAATATTGTTGGGGTGGAATTTCTAAAAAATGTACAATTTTTGTAATTCAAAAAAGAATTATAAGAATAATCTAAACAATGGCTTTTAGACAATAGTGTAGAATAGTAATCAATCCAAACAGTTATGTATTGATGATATTTGGTCTATTATATGAATGTAAATTAATTTCATATATACCAACATTCCCACAATAATAAATTGATAGTAACTGAAAATGCCACAAATTATCTGTATGAAACATTTTAAAATGTGTAAAACTATTAATAGACATTGAGGAGTATAGTGTAGTAAAATACTTAAAATATAACTTTAAATAGATTCAAATCTGGGATGTTATCTAGTGTTACCTATGATTGTAGTTATTCATGAAGTACAGATAAATTATTATTATTATTATTATAATATTATGAAATAAAGAATATTATTATTACATACTTGAATACATAACTGCCTTAATTCTTGATTTCTTTTATTTAGTGTCTCTTCTATTTGTTTCTTTCGTTCTTGAAGAACAGTTATCCTTGATGCAGTCATGTTTCTAGTTGCTCCCATATTACTAAATTTATTTTCTTCACTATTTACTCCATCCTCTGAAAATAAATATAATATTATTACCTATTTCTAGGTTTATTTTATTCATCTCTTATCATTATGACTAATTGGATGATCAAATATTATCAGTGATTATACAATTATTAATAGCAGTAAATAAGATTTAATACATGAAATGTAAATTAATACCAATAAAAAGATGTAAACTATTTTTAAAGTATTAATATTTAATTGACATACCCACAACATTATTAGGATCTTCAAGCATTTCCTTTCTAAAGTAATAAAAATCTAAGCATTCTTAAACATAGTATTATATTTTAATATTAGTTTTGTCTGCTTGATAATAACACCTGAACAGATAAATTGTTATACTGCCCTTATTGGTGGCTTATTAATTCAGAATAAAATCTTTAATAACGAAAATATTTTACACCTGTATACAATACTGTTTTTGACATTTTTTAATTAAGATATACTCCTTCAATTTTATAAATGCCTTTTTCTAGATGGTCTTATCCTAGTAACTGTTGATCTGTTTTATCACATAATTTATCTTGAAATTGTATTTCTAATAAATTTGTATTTGTTTTTAATTAATATTTTAGTAGTAAACGTAAATACATTTCAGTCAACCACCTCCACCCATTTCATTTCACAAATATCTGTCAATCTGTCATACTGTCATCAGTGTCATCTGTTGAATGTCAAATAAAAAATGTGACGTTTTTCAGTGATGCCACTACCTGGTAGAAATAGGAATTCCAAAGAAAATGATTTTCCGTGGGAGAAGTATTTTCAACCACACCACCACACACCACATACTTCGTTTTCTCTTGTTACACACACTTCTCAAAAACAGAAAATCCTACAAACTCAAATCAATCATCATCTTACACTCAAATTCTGTTCAAATTTTTTCTCCTTTAAAAAATATTTGCCAAATAAAATTAGTAGAACGGAAATATTTTGCAAGTAGGTTCGCAAAAGCGGTATTGATATACATAGTAGTTTTTCATTTATATAGGTATAAGAAATAAAAAAAAATTAATCACAAAATGATCGAGATGCAATTTTTCAAATTTGGCGGTTAGTATCGTTCGTCAGTTCGGGTATTTTCGACGATCGCTTACTTTTTATTTTTGTACTTTGACTTTGGCAATGCTGACTTTCGTTCACACTGTTGCCGGTTGGCTGATAATTATCCGATTTGCCCATAATTTGGATTGGTGGCGATTAAAATTATTTTCTCATCCAGTTAAAAATGGAAAAAATCGGATAATTTGGACATACAAACCATATGCACCATTAAGTAATGTTGGCTAATAAATTCACTCAGAATTTATAATGAGCTTTTTAAACCATTTTGGACCTTTTTCTACTCTTCAAAAATTTTGGGAGACAGAGAACTTTAAAACGACACTGAGTATCGTTTTTCAAAATATTTAGAACGAGAACTGGGGCAACGATTGATGAGTAATGAGTACCTTTTTTCAAAAATATTTTACCCCACGGAAGACATCTCTTTTTTTGGATAATTTTTAATGGAGAGGTGGATCTTTCCGCTTTCAGCCGTTGGCAACACTGTTTGATCAAGAGTTAAGAAGCAAAGCAAAGCAAAGTGATAATAAAATTTGTGCTCTTTCAAGTTTAATTTTATAACAAATAAAAAGATGCAGAAACTGCATTTATAGTGGTTAAGTGATAAACAAGTGTTTAGTAGCAAGTGTTTTACTTTAAAATAAACTAAACTATCGGTTTGATCTTAAAGTAATTGTCTACGTATATCATGCCAATTCCGAGAAACACTGGTGTTTTAAGAACTGTCTACAGTACGACTTGAAAGTATGTTATTTTGGTTAATATTTGGAATTTTTACAGTTAGAAATGATTTATATTGCAATATATCGATAAATTCATGTGTTAGTTGTATAATTGTTACTGTGCTTTTGTTTATTTTTGATAAATATGCCTATCAAAATTTGTGTATACCTACACATATGATAGTTTTTTGTTTGTTTTGATCTTCGCTACTTCTTTCTAGTATTTAAGCATGCATTACCAAATAATCTTATTATCTAATAAATATCCGAAATTGTTAATAATTCGCTATATTTTCATAAAGTTCATAGGTTAAAAATAGCCAGCAGACATCTCTAATTTACAGATGATTTTCATAGAAAGATAAAAACGTCAAAGTCAAAATGAAAACAAAATTGTTTATAGTGATATCATTTATTTCTTAGAATTAATTTTACTGTGTTTGTGTATCAATATTCAAAATATTGCAATATAATAGATTAATAAATTAATGAATGTGGGGTCTTCTTGGTTTAATTTGACAAACTGTTTAAAATAGACAACATACCTATTGTAGGTACCTAGTATATAGGAGCACTTTTAATTTAATTTTTTTCATTTTATGCAGCATTTTTAAATTAATAATTGTTTTCCTATTTCTTAGTAATAACTGTGTTCATTCAAAATTATTGAATAGTGTATAAGCATTGCTAATTATTAATAATTAATATATATTTAAATCAAAATTAAACGTTTATGTTTAAGTAGTGGCAATGAGTTTCTTTGAAACCAATCATTTAACATAACGGTATTTTCAACATTTTAAATAACAAGCACAAATACATTTTTCTTTTGAATAAGTTAAAAATTTTACAAATTAAGTATTTTTAATTTCCAGAAATAATAATTAGTTTAGTGATGCCTAATAATAATAACCTATATCTGAAAATATACCTAGGCAATTAAAGTAAATTGTTAATGTTAATACTTATTTTTTAGGACTTGAAAGGTTTATAAATAAAACATGAATGTAATGGAACACATAATAAACAATATATATTTATTATTTTTATTTTTCGTTGTTGGATCGACCAAAAATTTAAGATATTGCATGGGTTTGGAATCATGTGGATGTAAGTAAATATTTATTTTCTTATGCTTTAAGTATATTGTTGTTTTACTGACTAATCTATCTACAAAATTACAATGTCAAAAAAATTTGAAAAGTTATATATTTTTTACAGAACTTGATCAGTATCTTGTACTTTTTAATTTTAGAGAGTACCTACATGTTTTGACGTATCTGTTCAAACATGTGATTGTACCTTAAAAACTATATTTAGAGGTCTTGATGTTTAATGATTTTTTATTTATTTGAATCGGCATAGAAATTGTATTTGGATCTCTTGCTAAATTGCTTATTGCAATTTTCATAGAATGTTTTTCTGGAGAACCACATATCTTTAAATATCTAAACAATATATTTAGAAAAATGAAGAACGGTATCTTAACTGCTCAATTGTGGTCATTTTAAAAATTTAAGAAATTATACTCAAAACCAATCCCACACAAATTGTTTAATAATTAAATTACATGGCAACTGGTTTTTGCACTAAGGCCATCTTCAGGCCTAATAGGAAGAAAGAAAATAAATCACATGTTGTTTACATTACCAATTAGAAACTTGTAAAAACTGATAAAATTGTTATACAACTACTAATGTGAACATCAAAAGGGATTCTTAAAACTAACGGGTGGTCATTTACCATTATGTACCATCTAATTGAGAAGTTATTTTAGTGTAAGGTGTAAATTATTGGGACATAAAGATAATGATGGAGGAAAAAACTTAATAAAAAAAACCCACAATTATTAATAAGGTTCAAATTAGTGTCATGGCACTACTTATGGCTACCCTAAGGCAAAAATGCTTTTGTGAAGTCTGTTTTTCAATAATATTTTAACAGAAAGAATAAATAGAAATACTATTTGATAGGTTGAAGTATGTAGTTTTCAACAGTTTATGTATCTATTTTGTTAATAGCATGTAATTTTTTTTACATTTTTCTTATAAAAGTGAAAGAAATTCTTTATTTTTGGCCATCAGTCTGCCACTAGTTCTCTACTTATGGCCACTAATTTTTAAGTTGCATTTTTAAATATTAATTTAAGTGCATGTTTATTTACATGTATGTACCCAGTAGTGATTTAGAATAGGTAGAGTATAACAAATTAAATTTTTTGTTAAAATATGAAATTTATTTTTCATGAACATTTGGGAAGGCTAGACCGAAAACGACTTCAAGCGCAAAGTGACTGGCTCCCAAAAAAGTTACAGGGCGTTCAACTAACATTCAGAAAAACCTTTTTTTTTTTTTTTTTTTTTTTTGTAAAAAGTTTGCTGTTGCGATTTTTTCTTTGAAATTTTTGCCAGAATTGTAGATTTGATGGCCCAATATTCTAAGGTGAAAAAAAAATTAAAGTGATCCCTTTAAAAAAAGTTGAGGGTTTGGGTACCTTTTAACCCCCCGTATTTTTTTTTTTTTTGACATAAACAAACTTGCTTTATCAATCTTAAAATCAAAAAGATCTATGAATTTTTAATTTTTTTTATAGCGAAATGAACTTTGTATCTTTCTTAGTTAACGAGCTATTGACAATTTTTTAACTGAAATTCTAGAGCAATTCGTCCGTCCTGGACTTAACATATCAACAAAACTAAAAGTAGGTCAGGAGTTATTGTACAAAAAACGCAAATTAAAATCATTGGTGTACCTAGGGCTGTGCTTGAGCCGCCCCTGCAAAAATTACCTCTTATTTATATTTTTGTAAAAAAAGGTATTTATAATATTGAATTGGCGCCATAAAAATGGTGTGCCACCCATCCTCATGGGTTTACCATGCCACTGATAAAAATACACTTTAGTTTGGAAATGTATTTATTAAATTTAATAGTAATTAAAAAAATATTTTTTTTAATTAATCAATAATTAACAAAAAATTAACAATTAAAAATATTATACATATTTTATAAACTATTTAATTTAGTAAATGTTCAACATGTCCTCCTCGTTCTTGAATACAAAAATATAAATAAAAGAGGTAGTTTTTGCAGGGGTGGCTCAAGCACAGCCCTAGGTACACCACTGATTTTTATACAATAACTCCTGACCTACTTTTAGTTTTGCTGATATGTTAAGTCCAGGACGGACGAATTGCTCTAGAAATTCAGTTAAAAAATTGTAAATAGCTCGTTAACTAAGGAAGATACATAGTTTCGCTGTAAAAAAAACTTAAAAATTCATATTTCTTTTTGATTTTAAGATCGATAAAGCAAGTTTCTTTATGTCAAAAAAAATACGGGGAGGTTAAAAGGTACCCAACCCCCAACTTTTTTTAAGGGGGTCGCTTTAACTTTTTTTTTCTCCTTAGAATATGGGGCCTTCAAATCTACAGCACTGACAAAAAAATTCAAAGAAAAAATCGAAACGGCAAACTTTTTACAAAAAAAACCGTTTTTTTGAATGTTAGTTTAACGCCCTGTAATTTTGTTAGGAGCCAGTTTTTAATATAGGTAAATATAACCAAATCCACTTATTTTTTGGTAATCTATCTGAGGAAGAATTTATGACATACCTTTTTGAAACACCCTGTATAAAGTCGCCCGGTTTTAATGTTTTGCCTAACTGACGTTTCATCTTCTTAGCTAAAAAACCAAGTAACTCCCACAACCCATACAATAACTGCTGTGGCCATAACTCACGAATTCTTAATTTCTTGTCATTACTAGTGGCCACACTGATATTTATTTTTATTTAAAAAAAAAATATGTTATAAACAAAATACATTGGGTATTAACTTCTACTTACCTTTGGAATGGAAAGTTTTCAAAAATATCTGTAATAAATCAAAGTTTTGTTTCAATGTTTACAGATAAATTTTTAGCCAAAACAACAAGTAATGCTTGCATGTATTACACATGCTAACTATTTATTTTACTGATTTCCAATAGACTGGGTTTATTAGTTGCAAACCTGCCCAATCATGTAACCACATGCTCATTTACCTTCTCCAACCACTATTTTTGTTTACAATGTTGCTAAACGTTTATTTTTAAATCTTAAAGCAAGAAGTGGCCATAAGCAGGGTAGTGGCCATAAGTAGTGCCATCACCCTATTGGGACAGTAAAATATATTACTTATTAATTGATGATTTTTCTGTATATTAAGATAAGTTTTTTCTCCCACCAATATCTTTATGTCCCAATAATTTCCATCTTGCATCAAAGTAACTTCTCCATTAGAACGTACATGAAATGTCCATACGTTAATTTTAAGGATCCCTTTTTATGTTCACATCAGTAGTTGCATAACAATTTTATCAGTCTTTACAGGTTTGTAATTGGTTATATAAACAACATTCTTCCTTTTAGGCCTGAAGATGGCCATAGTTCTGAATCTGGTTGCCATGTAATTTAATTTTGAAACAAATTGTATGTGATTGATTTTGAGTACCATTTCTTAAATTTTTAATATATTTAGAGGTCTTGCTATTTCATAATTTATTATTTTTTTTTGTTTGGTACTAATGAATTTAATCGTTGGTATGTAAGTTGTGTTTTGAATCTCGTGGTAAATATTGTTTTTTTTTTTTCGCTATTTTGATACGAGTATTGTTTTTTCACGAAAACGAGTAACTTTAAAGACAAAAAAAAATATTTTGGAGGTCTTGCTATTAATTGACTTATTAAATTTTTTATTGATACTATTGTACTGAAACGTTGGTATACAAATTATATTTGAAATCTCGTTTTAAATATAGTTGTTTTTTCTATTTTGAGAGAGTAATGTTTATCCGCAAAAACGCGCAACTTTAGAGACTTAAAAAATGTATTTAGAAGTATTGCTTTTTAGTAATTTATTATTTTGTAATCACTTTATAGTCATCAATCAATGTTTGTTGTTTTGCACGTTTCAATTTTTCTATACTTACTATAAAAAATAAAATAATATATTTGATATATAAAAATTTTTGTATTCTTATGATTCTCGTTCTTTATTTCGCCTTTCTTTTCCACATTTTATTTACTGTAATGATTGTTTAATTTAAAAATAGTTTAATTATTTGAAACAGTTTATTTATAATTCACACCAATTACTAATTAATTAATTAATTTAATATTTAAGCATTATTATAATTCAATTTCTATTTTATTTTTGCAATTTATCTTTATTCGACATTTATATTGAAACTTAAATTTATATCGACAAAGTCGCGTTATTTATATAAAAATGTAACGGCCTAGAAAGAATCATTCCTTCTAGAAGAATCTAGAAATCTTGCTTTACGCGTCTGATCGCATATAGAGAAAATTCCAGCAGTTATGAGTCAGGTTTTGATGGCCAACGCCAGACTCTAATGCGCAGTAAAGATAAATAGAGAACAAAGTCGGTTCAGGCGATCGTACGACATTATTTCTCTCCTACTCCTATTTTGCTCTCAACTCCCCTGATCTGTATGGGTATTTAAAATAATATTTTTATCTCCTTTTTTAATCTTCTCTTTTATATCACCTTCAATAGGTACATCTTTTATGTACAAATGTTTTCAATTTATACAATAGATAACATCAAAAAAAATCAACATTTTTAATCTAATTTTATTGACAAAATCTTTCAAAAATTCTTTTCCTAAAAGAAAATATGTCAAATGTGCCGAGCCATATAAATATATACACGAGGTGTGGCTAGAAAAAACTGGACTGATCGTTCTGCAGATAAACTGTGAGGTCGTCAAGGTCAAACGGAAGACGAGCGTATTTGATTAAGGTGCGTAAAAATATGGCTAACCGCGCCTGAGATGAGTCAACAACGAGCCCAGTTCGTCAGATATACAATACGTTTTGCCAAAGTCCAAGGGAAAATTAGAGATATTTAGCATTAGTGCGAGCAGGAAGCGAATAATATCAACGAAGCCAGCCAGCCACATGGGGATATATCTCCCCGTGTGCCGGTTCACATTACCCAGCGCACACGGATAACTCTCTGTGTTTTCAGTTCGACTTTAGCAAAGCGTATAAGTGTTCAATAGCCTATACTGTATACAGTGTTCTGACTCTACGATGCGCTGCGCGAAGGAGGCTCAACAGATACTCGTTGTTTTCTATATTCGGTCGGTGTCTTAGCCGCGCCTGAGCCGAGCCAAATCCCTTTGAGTTCGAGCTAAAGACTGACAGAAAATGGAAAGTAATGAGTCTCCTTCGCGCTGCGCGTGTTAGACGAAAATCACAGTTGACCATAATTTTTCTCGAGAGCGGTGGTGTGTGCGTGTATGCTTTATTGAATTTTTATGGTTTTATATGTATGTTTAATTAGGGAAAAGTACCTTTTTAATCATGAAATACATTTATATCTGGTTCACATTGGCAACAGCATGCACAATCCATTTTAAACTTCCGATCTGATAACTATAATTTTATGGCATGAATGTAGTGCCTCATTTTGGCAATCTTTGGTTGTTTTCCGCTTAATTGAGCCGTAGTCTTCGTTCTAAGTGAACCTTGCTATGCTCCGCCGAAATTATGTTCAAGGAGGGCAACGCGTCAATGTAAAATTCATGTGAAACTCAAAAAATCTGCCACAGAAACGTATTTTTTATTGAAAAAAGTAGTGTATACAAATGTTTATCACGCACTCAGGTTTTTGAGTGATTATTGAAGGACGAGAAGTGATCGCAAACGTTTCTTGCAAAAGACAATGTTGCACCTCAAAAACCGTCGGTTAAGTATTTGGGCTTTTACTGAATCCGTAGAATTCCAGAAAGAAAGTATTAGGCAGATTTTAACAGAACAAAAATCATAGTTTCTGCATCAGGACAACGCTGCATCCCACACTGCATTGTCTTAATCACCGGATCTCGCCTCATGTATCTTTTTATTACCCACGGTAAAATTAACACTGCAAGGAACCAGAATAATACAGTAAAGCTGTCAAAGAAAACAAGCTTTCAAAAAAATATTCACAGCACTGCTATGACAAATGGAAAATTCGTATGGAGCGGTATTTCGACCGTTAAAATTGTGAAAGAAATGAAGTGATTTTATAGCACTAAACTGTTTTTTCTAGCCATATATATAGTACCCAATTTTCCGGCAGGACCAACTTTTTTTTTTTCGATGGCAGATTTATTCATTTCGGTAAATTTTCTTTCGTTTGGTGAAAATCGAAAGAAAAAATGTTCTTGAATTTTTCGACTTTTCCGACGAACTTTCAGGAAAAACAAAAAATTCGCGTATACTGCTCGACATTCTTGAAAATCTGGTATCAAATTTTTTTCCAAAGCCAAATCATTTTCCAGGAAAATTCGGGGAAAAATTGGGTCGAACGCTTTTCCGGGAAAAAACTTTGCTTGAAAGAGGAGATAGAGCAAAAAAGTTTAAGGAGAATTATACGGTTGATATATCACATGAGAGGGTTTTCATGACCGTAACAAATATTTAAAAAAAGGACTTCTTCGCAGTTTCCTTATGGCAAAAAAGTGTCCATGGTCACAAAGTTCTCCTATCGACTAATTTTTGAGATACCGGATGTTGAACTTGAGAATTTTCATAATTTTCAAAAATATTTTAAGACGTAAACATTCTAAGTTTCCTTTGAAATAAAATCCTGCTTCTGTTACTTGCTGTGTAAACTGATAGATGGCAGATGCTCTTGCAATGACCTTGCAACGGCAAAATTTCTTCCAATGAAAATATCTATACCTTACCAACTTTTTTGAAAAAAACTATGAATAAAATTAGTGCTTGCGCCTCTTAATTAGATTATTTTGCAAGAGTGGGGATGATTTGATTTCTGTTAGAAACCTTGTAATTTCACGAAAATGTCTACATAGAAAACGTTTGATAATTTTATTTTTTAAAATGTAAACTAATTAAATTAAATTAAAAATGCAGAATTCTGTTTCCTACGGATTCTATGCTTCCCAAATAATTTGTCATTCAAGTCATACGATTTTTGTAAGATTTGAACTGTACAGTCCATCGATTCAGTCCATAAATCAAAAGTGAAGTGCTCGATCTGACTCACATCTTGCTTCTCCTCTTTTTTCTAATTCGAAGATGAAGAGTGAAATCAGCTGATTAAATCTTGCGATTAGATCAAAACTGAGCGTTTTGGCCTGCAGGTCATATCGGAGCGTGTAGGGCCTCCATTAGTCGAAAGACGTCTATCTAGTTTGCCGTTATAGTCAGATAACTATTGACAATATTAATTAGTGTATTAGTAAAAGAAATATGAATTGTATTTAGTATTTAGTACAAATATATTAAGTTATAAAATAAATTATTGTCTACGTGTAAATAACAAACTGTTTGAATAAATAAACTTTACAAATTAAATAAAAGTATCTTCGTTAGACGCTGATGTAGATTGAGAAGGGTTGGCGACAGAGAAGATCAGCAAGAGTGCAATTAATAATAGTTAGTCAGAAGATAGCAATAATAATAATAATATTCTAAATAGTTTAATTATTTAGAATAATATACTTATTAATTTTTTTTAGATACTGTTCCTTCTGGTGATATTTTTGTAAAGTATGGTGAACCATTAAACATAACATGTAATCTTTATCCGAATCCGAATTCATCAATATTCCCACGAGAACAAAATTCAAGTTTATTATATTTCAGAAAAAATAACAGCAGGAAGTTGATTCCAAAGGGATATAATTACACAGTGAAGGAAACGGTATATATTTTTTTATTATAGTTTTTTATTTGTCTACTTTTTCCGTTTCTTTTCTAGGAAGAAAAAGTCGAAATTTTGAATTTAACGAGTATAAGGTTGACCATAAGTAAACCGGAAAAAATGAGGGATTTTTATTATTGTTGGTGCGATTACAAAGACAATCATCAACTTGCTTGTTCAAATGCAGTAGCTGTTGGTGGTAAGTGATCTACTTCTAAAAATCTTAAAACATTTGAAATGTATGTAAATTAATCATTTTAGTTTCGCCACAAAAAATTGACAATTTTTTATGCAAAAGCGATAACTGGGAATCAATGACTTGCTCATGGAAACTACCAGAAAATTTTGTTGCCACATATTATAACGTTTCGATTATATACCCGGAATATTATACCGAGTAAGTAGATATTTTTAATTTAAATTATGAGTTGATGTATATTTTAAATTCTAAAACCTAAACTGAGTGAAGGTAAGTTGTGTTTTCGGTTTTGTTTTTCCCTTTTACTTATAATGGTTATGTTTTTGAAAATATATAGATTAACAATATTTGTAAAAGGTAAGTTTTCAAGTATTTTAATTGAACTTTGCTCGATAGTGACGAATTGGACATTTTTTTTTTTTAAATTTGATTATAGTTGTTTACAGAACCAAACAATTTTTTTGATTTTTATTTTGTTTATTTTATCTCGATTTTTTCGTACTTGAATATAACCTTAAATATTTCTTGGAAGCAATTCAATTAGTGCAATTCCTGTGTCTTTAAATTTGTATGCCTCTCTATATCTTCCCTCTTTGTTAGTAAAGTACGGATCTATTATGAAACTAATAAAGCCTAGACGTCAGGATGCTAGCCCATATGTTTCTTAAAATGACTACACAGCTTGTTAGAAGGAGAGATGGCTATTATTATTTGCAATCGCGTCCTGGAGCAACTTACAAATAATTGACACGATAGCCCACCGGGAGCCAAGTATAGAGTGATCCACAAAAAATATTTCTAAAGTAGGCCTTGGAAAAATTGAAGCATGTCGTAGCTTACAATTCTTCATCTTAAGGGTCAGTTTTGATTTAATTAAGGGCCTTACGTAGTTGAACATAACTAGTATCTATTTTTGTCGATCATGTCCCACTTTTTTGTGGATCGCTCTTTATGTATCGGATATATAACTATTACTTAGAACTGCTTACTAACAAGATTTAGAGGGACTTTATTTAACAAAAAGCAATAAAATGGTGCGATTAGTTAGCACACTTGCATTTAAAATTTTATTTGTTCTCAAACAAATTTTTAGTTAATATTTATCGTTTTTTAAGAAAAAATCGTGGTGAAATTTAATTGAATAAACGAACAGTTTGCGCAACAAGTTTTCTAATGGTTTTGTAAACATTTTGAGGCGAAAATATAATTTATATATTTTATTTTTTACTGGAGAAAAAAGAAACACGGGCCCAAGCACTACAAAAAGTGGAATAAAGGAATTTACAATCATAAGACGTGAGTACAATTGTGATCAAGCTCTGTGTCATAAAAACCGCTTAAAAAAACCAAAGCTAATCTTTTTGGCAAGCATTTGTGTGAGGCGAGAGCGGTTTGAGGCTTCAGCATTTTTTGTGAATTATCCTTGGTGAAGAATTCGGTGAAAACCAAAAAATCGACTCTTTAAAACTTTTTGCTTATTAATTTCTCAAAAAAAAATATTTTTATTAAAAATTAGGCTCAGATTACGTCACAAAATGTTACTCTTATTCAAAGTTAGGGTACATTTTTTTCTGAGAAATTAATAAGTAATAAAGAAGTTATCCAACTTGTGTTTTGAAATTCATGGTATGGCATTTCGATAAATGTTTAGTGACTTTTTAGAGTATCATATTTAAAAATTCCATAAAAAAATATAAGGTGGTTAGATCTTTTCTTCTTTATTTATCTTTAATGTTCCACATTTTAAAACTATACTGAATAGATATAGAATATAAATACGCGACGTCACGGCTTATTTCTGGTTTTTCCGGAAAGTTTTTTATTTTTTAAAGGAAATCCTAATTTTTTATTGAAAATTTGAGTTTCTTGGACACTTCTGGATATTATTAAAAGTTGGGTATAGTAAATTATCGGTCAGTTATCAAAATGGCCGCTGTATTGGATATTATTTCTGAAACTGAATTCTTATTCAAAAATGTTCGAAGAATTCAAATTTTCCACTAAAAATGGGGGTTTCCGTTTAAAAATAAATTGCGATTTTCTAACATTTCCGGAAAAACCGAAAGTAGGCCATACCATCACAGAATAATTGAATCTATTAGAATAAACTAATTATTTCAAGCTTTCAAACAAAAAATCCAATATCTTAATAACAAAGATAAGGGTTAAGTGGTCCATCCTGTAGCTATCAATACAAAGTCAGCTTAGTTGCGAAAATTTTAGTACATTTTGTCATTATTAAGATAACGCTTGGGATGCAATTCTCCAACTATCTACAAGACTACAAGTTGGTTTTTTTCTCAGCTCCAATCACTGACTTATGCCCTTTTTGCAGTTAGTGAAAAAATGTTTTTGAATTTAACGCCTGACCTTAGAGTCAATCCGCTTCCGGAATTTTTAGTTCATTAATTACAGAATTTGATATTTTTGCAATTTAAAAAATATTGAGTTGATTTTAGAAATTTAAAAGATTAATAAAGAATTTCCAGTTGAAAAAATCTTTATTAGTCGTAAATTCTAAACATTGATTTTCTGTTTTAATTCTAAACCTTTTGGAAATTTAAAATTTGGTAATAAATTTTATTATCTTTCTTATAACATTTGCTAATAAGTAGTTTTTTGATTCAGAAGAAACTACCAATCATTTAATGCGACTTTTATTGTTGTTGTGTTTTAATTAAGTATGATCTAATTTATGACAAAAATGTCGAGAGTGAGCATCACTTGGGAATAGAAATATAATAGATTATTATTTCGCCAGTATCTATTGGTGTGAAAAAGTCCAATATCTCTGGCGCTATTAAATATATATATACAGTATGTCCCCCTAGGTTGGAATCATATGGAAAACTTTTTTATTATTAATTTTAGGAAAAAAGTAATTCTTCAAAAAAAGTTCTGCATTATCTAAAACCTAGAATACAGTCATCAAATATCAATTTTTTTAGTGGTATACGAGGTTCGTCAAAAAATGAGTTTTATTTAAGAGTAAAGTACCTTTTTCTTTATACGACTGATAAAATTTGATATCTGATGGTTGTATTTTAGGTTCTAGACCATGCTCGACTTTTTATAAAGAACAACTTTTGTTCCTAAAATTAGTAATAAAAAAGATTTTCATATGCCGCCAATTTACATAGACAGTTGGTGGCATAGGAAAGTTTGAGACTTGATTTGATTTTTCGATTTTTTCAATTTTTCGATATTTTGATTTTTCGACTTTTCGATTTTTCGAGGGTGTTAGGTTTATTTTCGTTACGGAATTTCTTGATTTCCATATGATTCCAACCCAGGGGATATAAACACATTTACAAAACGGAAGCAGTCATAAACTTATATTTTAAAATTATTTTCTAATATAGTCTGGAACAAACCTGTTTTTTTAAATGGATCACCCTGTATTTTTATTTTATATTTGAATTACCATCGCGTTTCCCTTTATAACAATACCAAATAGTATGGGATTACATATGATATTTCACAGTCACGCTATAATTAGTTTTATACGAAAATCGTATTGATTTCAATGACCTGTATACTGCAAGAGAAACAATTAAAAACCATTTTTTGCAATAAAAGTTTTTCGATGTTAGTCAACATTTATTCCGGCGCACTACTTTTTTCAATTCGTAATAAATATGTACAGGGTGAGTCAAAACTCACACATTTTCTATTTTTTTTAATTTAAATATTTCATGTAACCATTCAAAAGTACCCCAGTTATACTTTCGTTTGAGTTGAGCATTCCCTAAGTTAATAGTTTTGGGAAGTTTTTCAATTTAAATGACAAAAAAGATAATTCCGAAAATGTAATGCTTCAATTTGAACTGGTCACACTGGTTAATAGGAAATAATTAGTAATTATAATCTAACCAGCTGTAATTTATTATCGACTGAATAATTTTTTAACAATTTCTAATGGGCGTTTTACATTGAGTATAAAATAAATTCAAATAACAACAAACCACACAGACTCCATTATAATACCTACTTTATTCTAAGTTTGTTATTATTAATGCCATTACTGTTGCAATATAAGTCCACTTTTTTATACTATATTTTTAAGTTGAATTTTTCCGAGTTAAAAGGGGACAAAGATTTTATAAAAATCCGTTTTTCTTAATTTTTTTGAAAATGATTTAGGGTAGTGGTTATGATGACACCAAAGCTCACTGTACTAAATCATTTTAAAAAAATGTAAGCAAAACGGATTTTTTTTATAATTTGTTTGTTACAGAAAAGACGTATTTCCGGACAAATGTTTATATAAGATTTTTTGCGTATTTCGATTTCTAGAACACGTCCTCAAAATATTTCCCTGTCCTTACGAAATATCCCGTATATCTCTAATAGTGCCGGAGATACTGATTTTTTTCACACTAATATATTAAGTAAAATGATCTATATTCTTTATGAAGACGTTTTAATGAGTCACAATTGTGACTTTTTTTTTATAAAAATAAATTTTATAGAAAACTTTCGTAGGCTTGGTATTTCAAGAAAAGTTCGTTTGAGTTATTGAACATTTTCGTATACTTGCAATAGTATTAAAATGACAATTTCCTTGACATATAGTCTACTAATATAGTGTTCACACTGATATTTTACTTATAACGCATGTTTTAAACTAAACTTTAATTTTGTTTTTGTTTTTCATAAATAGGAATGTTTACTTTTATTTTTGATCTGGATTTTTCATAAACATAAAATTATTCGGTTTTCTTATCAGTTATGACAATGAGTAAAATTCCAATACATCCTACTCAGTATCAATTTCTGGAAGTGCCGGGATCTTGAAAAATAACAACGATATGAGGATACATCTTATAATTAGAATTATAAAAAAAAATGGATCGATATTTTGACGCAATACCTAAATTATAGTAACTTACAGGGTTAATAAAAGACAAAATAGTAATAGTTAACACTCCTATTTATTAAATTTAAAGTAAATTTTAGTCTAAAAAACGCATGAACTATAAATCTACTAGTTCATATATGACGTTTCTAGTTTTCGAGTTAGCATTGTATACATTTTTTTATAGAAGGTCATTGGTCATTGTAAAAGTGCAAATCTGTGGCTTCTGTGAAGTAATAGGAAATAAAATAACTCGTAATTATTGTTATTGTTTACATTTGAAGAAAGGTCGTGCAATCATAAATTACTATCTATTGTAGATAAAGTTGCAATTTTTACCATAGTATATCGACTATATATAGTGATTTTAAATAACTAAAAATGAACGACATTTTTAAAACTATTTCCATTCGGAAATGAATATGAATATTACAAGCAACAGAGAGTTTTGGGCCAAATTATGTGCTTCTATTTTGTGTTACGTTTTAGATTTTTGTGTCGTCATGGTGGTGGAGTTGTTTGTGAAATTACAAACTAGATAAAATAGATTTTCATATTTTCAGAATCATATATTAAAAAATATTCTGTCATCTTCATTGCACATTTTTTTTGTAGAATATTCCAACGTTGTTCTCATTTAGTTTTGTTATGAACTAATAAGACATTTTGAATTATATGTAACTTTAAAAATTTAACATAGTTTTAATGAATTATTGGCAATAATATTTATAATATAAATGGAACGTTTTGGGACATACTTTAATAAAATTGTTCCCTTATAAAGTTTTAGATCAGTTGTCTCTAAACAAATATTGTTTACGTGTACCATTTTAGAATCAACGTAATTGATAAGTAAGCGCTTATTACACATACATAGGAGGGGGAGGGTTTACATTTTTACGCTGTAACGATATTTAATTATTTACGCAACTGGCGTATTCTGTTATTGTGTAACTGAACGTAAATGTTACTAAATGTAATGTAAAATGAAAAGATATGGTTTACGAAATTAAAAATAGTCCAGTTCTTACCTGTGTAGGCCTTATTTAATCTCTTCAATTGTTACTATTCCTGTCACTCTGATCTTTTTAAAAAATCGCCTTATTTTATTCACTTATAAACCGATAGTCTCTTGAATACATTTGATAGCACGTAGGTCGTTGCTATTGTTTGTTTTGTTGGTTAAACATTGTTACTTTTTAAATATCCTGGTTTTTTTATTGTAATTTTAAATCAGATAGATGTTAAATATAATTATTTCTTTTGTTTTCCGAGATAATTTTTACAATATTCCCGTATACATTAGTTCCAATATGATACAAATAAAAAATACATTTCTCACTGTGATTATGAAAATGTAATTTTTTAAATCAAATGGATGTAATATCTTAAATCTGAGAAAACCAAGGTCCATATTTACGCAATATACGTAACAAACGGTAGATCGACTCTGTGGCATTATTAGTAAAAGCAGAATGGGATTTTGGCTCCAATTTGTGTTAATTTTTACTACCGAATCCAAAACTTTGAAATTAGATATTTAACCGACCGTTTGAGCTATGAATATGCGGTATACGGCATTGATCTTTTCTTGTTGAACAAAATGGTATTTATAAATATCCCGATAGCCCAAAATTACAAAATCGATATGTGACTTTCCAAATTTTTATAAAGAAAAAGGTCTCCACGCTCACCAAATACGGATGCAATATACATTTTACTCTGTAAGGCGTAGTAATACCAAAGATGTATAACCAAAATAGATAGGATTTTTTACAAAATTTCGGAAGCCAACACGGGTTCACTATCTAAGTGTTCTTGACAGAAATGCAATATTCTTATTAAACATTGCAACCAAGTTTACCGAGTTCTGTTCTTGAGAGTAGTAATGTATTCCTCATCCGAAATGTGAACTCTAACAACAGCGCAGTAAGAAAATCGATATTAGTAGTAGCTGTGAATCTGGTTTTTCATTCATTATTTTACATATTTAAATCGGAGAATTGTTTCATAGACCACTTTCAAAATTTTGCTGGATCCGGTGGACCCTGTAGGTACATCACTACCAATTTCTAAATCTCGAAAAAAAAGTGAAGATTAGATCTATCTATAGAAACTAGCGTTGTTTTAACAGTTTTCGAAAAAAAAAAGTTAGAATTGATTGCTTCTAGGGTTAATTATTTGATAATAAAGTCGACTAAACAAATTTTCAATTAAATTTTAATTGATTGTTCTGTGAATGGATGTCAAAAAAGCAAAATTGGCCAAACGAAAAAGTGACTCCATCCAACTTTACTTTTTTAAAATCTACAGTGACTTACAGCTCAAGAACCAATCAATTCTCACAAATTTTATTTAGAAAACGTCCCATTCGGAGTGGTAAAAGGAAATATAGTATATTTCCTTGTGTTGTAGGTATTTATTTAGATTTAAATATATAAATTGTTACACTTATAACGTAATGTAATTTCTACAATGGTAATTAAAAAAATATATAATTTTAATGAGAGGGATGTACTTGATGGATTGACAGCAAATTATCAATATTTGGCTTGAGTTTTGTAAGGAATAACCGTACATCTCTCCTTTCTGTGATATTCAATCTGCTCCTTTTTTTTGTTAATAAGTTTGTAACGGCACTAAAACTTTTTTTGACGAAATATGTCGAGGGAAACGCTATTAGAAGCTTCTGCACAATTCCCCACAGTCCAGGATATTTTTCGGGTATTTCTGCCTGAAGCCAAAATTTTTGATACCCTCTTTTAAATGTCACTTTCAGCTTCTCATTAGTGCTAAGCTCGAGTAGCTCCTCTTGAAATATCATATTCTCCACTTGCAAAATTCTACGGTGCATAGTTTCTGAGTTACAGGCCATATCCTACAGCCAACGACAACCGGCCTCCTGTCTTATTTGGACACTCGGTACTTTAGAAAACAATAAATATCTGCTAAACTGATAATTAAGATTAAAAAAATCGATGATATTAAATATTTACTGAAAAAATTAATTAAAATTAAAAATTTCCCTTTAAGACTGATACGCCTATGCAGGGGACTTTACTGTTTGTTATGTTTATGCACACTAGACCAAACTAAAAGGGTCGCATCCGTATCTCTTCTACTTTACCAGGTCCCAACAGTATCCCTGTATAATACAGGACATTGCCTTAAAAGATAAACACTAATTAGTTCATAACAAGATTAAAAATGTGGGTAATAAAAGTACTTAAAACTGCACAATATAGATTTTCTGAGTTCTAATGTTAATTATGTGCAGTTTTAATTTAATTTAAAATAAAAATTAAAAACTATTCCAAAATAGGAATTTTTAATTTAATCCTACTCTTTTATCTCGCATCTTATTGTCTTAGATTCCTTAACATCCATAATTTTATCATAAATAGTATAGCTGCTGAAGAATTTTGCTTTTTTGGAAACACCTGTTTTCTCAATAATATTGTTCCTAGAAGGTACTTGTAATTTTTTTTATGTTCACAGTGAAAAATACTATGTACAAAATTACTCTGTTAACGAAAATCAAACTGAGATGAATTTCACATTGAGCAAAAACTCGGATCCGTTTTACCGTTACTCTGAAGAAACCATCAAATTTGTGATAGAGATTTCCAACCATTTTGGGAATCGGGAGCAGAGCATCAATTGGTCTCATTTCGACAACATATATCTGAGGAAGCCTGAAGGTTTAAATGGTACTGCAACGTCTCCGAGCGATATCAGCCTTAGATGGAACCTGTCTAATGCTTTGCCGGCATTTCCTAGAAACTTGCTTTACGAAATTAGGTACAAGTGTGAGCATTTCTGCGATTGGAAAGTAGCAGGTGTTTATAAGTACAAACCTAGAATTGACGACAGAGTTCTTCATTATAACTTAACAAATCTCAAATATGCTCATGTTCATTACGACATCCGAGTCAGGTATATATTTTTATTTAATCAATTATTTTAACAAGTATTATGAAATGTGTCAAATAATGTATTACAAATCATAGTCAGTAGTTATGTAGTAAATGTATACATATATGAAATTAAACTTTTTTACTACAGTCTTCAACAATACCTGTATCCCCGTTACCAAATTGTAGTAAAATAAAAATTACTATATGTTAGCCAATGCCGTAGATATTGTAATACAAAATTATTAAAGTTTTTTCAGATTAATTGTGATTTTACTCCATATGAATTCGTATATCTTAACAACAGCTTCTGTTATTTATTTGTTTTATTGTTTCATACTATTTTATACTATTTTTAAGTAATAATGTTAATATTTTCATTATCCATGTAATTGGACCCTATGAGTCTGTTTGGATACAAACAAATATTTAAATTACTGTGGGCCTTACAGAGCTTTAATTTACAAATGCAGTTTTTCGTTTCAAAACGTCAAACAAGTACCTATTGCTTTATGACGATCAAATTTTCATATTCTCTTTAATAATCTGGAATACATTCCTCTAATTGGTGAATACGACCCTGAATTGAATGTGAACAGGTTCTATTAGCATTTTGAGTTCCACTTAAAAAATGAGCCATTGAATTAAAAGGATCTGTTTGGATATTTACCTGAAATTATAGTCTATAAACTTAAAATAGTAAGTAAACAAATTTTGATTTACAAACAGAAAATAATTAAGGTACTAATAAACTCTAAAAAGAAATGATTGGTTTATTAATATTGAATTAAAAATTGTATAAAATCGTATTGATACAATGTAAACAAATCAATAATCTGTATCCCTATCCCCAAATAAAGACCAGGGACATATTTGACTGAACTTAGCCTTCAGTTGTCGTAAAAGTTACTAAAAAACAATTTTGATGTCTTTTGTCACGTAACCAGATCACGAGGGATACGGGTATTGTTGAAGACTATAAGGCCCAATTTCATAATCAAATTAAAGTAGGCTATAATATTAAAAGGACACTTTAAATGTTTATCGATTTCATAGTACAAATTTATTGAAAAGATACACTTTAAAGCTTCATTAAACTAAATACCCATTTTTAATCCTTTAGAACGTTAAAGGGTGCTTTTCCAACTGATATGAGTAATGTTATTCTATGTCTTAAATGTGGTATATATCTGTTAGAGAAAGAAAAACTCAATCTTGAGCACAAAATGTGTTTAATATAGAGCAGAGTGTCACTGACCATCGTTAGAAATGTAAGAAAGTAAATTTGTCAAAAAATGGAAAAACTAATACAATATTAAAATACAGTGAGTGAAATTAAAATTATAAAACGGATAACAGATAGGAAATGTTAAGTGAAATATCTTAGTTTAGTGGTTATGATATACTATAAATTATGGAAGAATAATTTAATTAACACTTAAAAGTAATAAAATTTATGGGAAACTATAGTAAAAGATATATTTTTTTAACATTAAAATGTTAAAAACCACAAAAAGTGATTAAGTGACATCGTTAGCTTGTTTAGATAAGAAACCTCAGTGAATGTGTGAAGCTTATCGTTAATACAATTAAGTCTAAACAAGTTAGAGTTATCAAAATTAAGAATATATTTCAATGTAAAAAGGAGAGTGTCCCAAGTTATGAAAAGTCATAGATTACCCTAATATTGGTAACTTTTAACAACAGATGTTTCATTTAAATAAAGTTTTATAATTTTTACTTCACTCACTGGACACTGTGCATGTTTTTGACAAATGCACTTTCTACAGACCTCTGATGATGGTCATTGACTGAAACTATTCACTCTACTCAAAATAATTTTTAACCCAAAACTTAACATTTTTAGTGGATAATATTGCGGTAAATGTAAGGAGATTAAATAAAAAGTTACTTTGATTAAATTCGCCTTTGGGGTTCGATTATGAAATTGGCCCTAACATATACATTTACTTTAAGCTTAAGTTAGAACTCATAAAAATGAATTGTACGACCACCAAGTCTTTTAAAACGACATATAATTTTTGTTAAATAATTTCAGAGTCAAAGTAGAAAACGCTCCAGATGAGACCTGGTCCAGTGACGCTACTAAAATAATAAGAACTGAAAGTAAAATACCGGATTATCCACCGCTAACCACGCTCGGCTCGTTCCAATTTGTAAACTGTCAACCTAGACAAGTCTATGTGTACTTCCAAAAAATTAAACCCCAATCTGAAAATGGTGCAAATTTCACTTATTTTGTAGAGAGCGATCCACCTTTACAGATATCTGAAAAATCCAGTGCATATGTCAAACTCGTTGAATTGGAAGACGGGAAACGTTATACTTTTAGAATTTGGTCCGAAAACAGTGTTGGCAAATCTAGAGAATCGTCAACTGTCATCATTCCAAGTCATCGTAAGTCTGATATGTCAAATTTTAATTACTAATTAGTTCACCACAATGAAAACTAGTTTTATATTCCATTTTGTTTATAACCTGTATTATATGTTAACATGTTTCTTTATAGCTCCTAAAGAACCATTAAAATTATGGAAAATAGTACATACAAGTGTCAAATATGAACTAGAATGGCAACGACGCGATACAGATAGGGACATAATATCAAACTACACATTGTTTTGGTGTGAACACCAATTTGACAGACCTTATCAGTGTCCAGTAAGTACAATCAACCTTTATTGACTTAGGTTCTGAATGTGCTCTAATACTCATCTATACCAAGTGTGTTTCCAGCAGCAAGTTCCAAACTTTTCTAACACACCACTTCATTTTAAAAAGCATATTTATCTTGTTTGAAACCTATGCTGGAAGTAACCCTCCAATATTTACCAGCGAAAACGTACCAGGAACAGCATGAGCATTTTAGACAAACGCTTGGACCTGTAGATTTTTACTTAACGGGAGACATATTTCTTTAATAAGATCCCATCCTGTATATATTGGATCGAAACCTGCTTGATTCATTCCGTCCACATCTTAATAGAGCTCTGCAACATTTTTCAATTATATTATGTTTTGTTTAGAATTCAATTATTAATAAAGTTATCTTTCAAATGAAGTGTCACACTTTACAATACGTAGCAGTTTTTATCACACTAGCTCGCGCTAAAATCAGAGTCAACGCAATAAATAAGCAATCATATTGCTGACTTCTCCATTATATTACCTTTTCAATGATGTGCCATACTTGGTACTTTCCCTAATAAAATTGTATTGGTAAAGTGACGAAAGGGCGGGGAATGAATGAATGACCTATGACAGTTGAGGATATAATAAAAAGATTTTCCCCTCAAAAATTGACGTGTCTAAAATGTTAACGCAGTTCCTGATAATGGCTCTGGTTTGTTTTCTTCTGACCACCCTGTATTAAAACAGTTACGTAATTTTAGTTTATATTTTCAGGGCTTGCTTAATTGGACAGTAGTTCCCAGTACCATGACGAGATACAATGTAACGGTACAACCTTCCAAAAACATATATCAATTCGCTATAGCCGCCAATACTGTAGAAGGTAGCAGCGGAATGGTGTGGGCCACTTGCACGATATTGGCCAACAGAACGGTCTCTAAAATAAATGAACTAATAATCAAAAATGTCGGTTCCGATTTCATTGAACTAAATTGGAGGCAAGATTGCCCTGATCACTACAGTGAAGTAACCGGTTATGTTATTTATTATTGCGCAACAAACGATACTTCCAATGACACTTGCACCACACCAGAAAAAAATGTCACTTTATATGGTACTCTGAATGACCAGTCAGGAACGGTTAGAGGATTGACGCCGTACACCACTTACTTGCTTGCGATCAGTGTTAAAACCAAATCTGCGATAGGAGCGCGTTCAGAATATGTTAGAAATGCTACGATAGAAGCAGCTCCATCTACACCACCTTTAGACATAACAATTGATGATATCACGAATTCTTCCATCACCATACACTGGAAATGTCCTATTATAACTAACGGAAAAATCAAGAACTACAACATCTGGTATAACAATGAAGAAAAGCAGGTTGCTGGAGATTTAGAAAGCTATACGTTAACGAACCTAGAAAGTTACAAGTCGTACGCCATATCCATGCAGGCCTGCACAACGAAGTGCTCCACGTTGTCCAATGAAAGTTTGGCTACTACCAAGATGGGAACACCTGGTAAACCAGGCATACCCCGCCAAAACGAGACCACCGAAAACGGCATGATTATCGTATGGAAACGACCAGAACAACCTAGAGGAGATATTCAGTATTATCAAATTCTCATTACAACTAATAAAGACAACGTCACCGGTGGAAAAATTATAAATGGGACAAATTCTGAATTCTTTTTATATGAATCTTGTCAAGCTAGCAACAAATACAATAATTATGTGACTTACATTCGTGTAAGAGCTGTGAATATCATTGGCAATGAACATTATCCTGGATTATGGAGTGATCCTTTCATCAATCCGAGTTGTAATCTCCAAATTTCTTGGTACATAATATACATCGTTATTGGAATTTTGGTTGTTATACTTTTGGGATTCGGAAGTAGGAAGTAAGCATTATGAGTTTTTATACAAAATTTTAAAACAATTGAGAGAAAAACCCAAAAAATTATGTAACTTTTAAACAGTTCATCATATTATTCCTAAAACTTTTGTTGATATTTTTTATTGGCATAAAATATAAGATGTTTTTCTAAAATGTAGTATCATGATGCAAAAACATGGAATACATTCTTTGCTAGATTTATTTTATTTTGCAAATACTCTGTTGATTTTAATGCAATGATTACTTAATGTTGTATGAAACTGCTTAAATACTTGAAACAATTACTAAATCTCGCACTTACAAAATTTACATATCGCTGTGCTACAACAATACTAGGATAATTTTAAAAGTGTGATTTCAAAACAATTGACTTAATGCCGTAATTGTACTTACTCTTTTATTGTTTAAATTAATAATGCTATTTTATGAAATTCGTTGTTCCCTTACTTGAAAAAATGTCATGAAAATCTTGTTTCCAGGGTGTATGACTATTTCAAACTCATGAAAGAGCTGGATATTAAACTACCGCCTGGTCTAGCACCGGCTGTGGAACGTTCGGAAAAGAATATACCAGTTATTGACAGATTATGTCCCGATGAAGAACTTCTGCTTGAAAAGATGCCCGAAAAATGCATGACGGGAGACTCGAGCGGATGTAGCTCAGGTCAGGTGAGCATCTCGTCCTCGATCGAGTCTACAACACATTTATCGATCGATTCCGGCACCGAACAACCTAAAATCGTTTCCGATGACCAAAAGGAGAACTCTCTAAGACTGAGAAATGTTTCCAGCAAAGGTAAATAGGTTTTTAAATTATAGCAAACGTTATAATAACATTTGTTTCAGGTTATGTGTTACACGATGCTACCCCAACAATAAACCGAGGAACAAAACCAGCTTCTACCACAGCAGGCAACTACTGCGTCCTAGGAGTGGATCCTTCCACAAAACCTTCCCAAGATACCCCATATGTCACAATAAGTGACATAGAAACCACTACGACGCCATGCATTTCTAATGATAAGCCATCGAGTGGACAAGCCCCTTACACGGACTTCTTCAAAACTCCCAACCCTGGATACGTGCCATTTTCCAATGTTGAACCAGCCAGCAAAAACACCGGTTACGTAATAGCAGGCGATCTGTCATTACCCTCGGTCGAAATTAAAACGAATAACGTGCTCACTGACACTCCCGTGGTGGGCTTGAAACCCGCCACGATGTGGCAACAGCCGCCTGTTGAACCGTCTCTGGCAAAACCGGGGTACGTCAGTGTAGGGGACAGTCCCCCGCATGTCACTTTTAAGGAGGCTAGTAAGGGGTATGTACCCCACAGGCAGTTTGAGGCTAAGTCTTTGAAAGAAGACTAAACAGATTTATTAAACAAGCGTTTTGGACTTATTCTTTAGATTCTATTGAAGCGCTAGGTAATTATTCTATTTTAGTTAAGGCTGGATCCCGGTTCATTATTTTGCAAAATATATCGAAACATTTCGGTTTAGTTCATGTTTTAATTTTGTTGTTATGGATGTTAATGCCTAATATGTTGAGATCCTATCGTAGGGCCATTGTGAGAACAGTAAACTGCATTATTATTATTATTTTTTTTTTTAAATCGTATTCAGCTGTTATCATATTAAGCAATATTTTACTATAAAAAATAACGATCTATTTGTATTGTATTTACATAGTCAAAAAATAAATTGAATATATTTTACTTCAACCTGGAAATTGAGCAAAACAATATAAAAATATTTTCTAAACATATATAAAAAGATAACTTTGAAAATAGCTAAATGAAAAATGTATAAGAGTATACCAATCAGTTATTTTGTTATTTTGAAAGTGAGTCTTATTATATTTCAATTATTTGTAAATAAATTTACAAGTGCCAAAAGTTAAAGGTATGGGTTTTTTTAATAATACAATAGAATTAGATTTGATAACTGTTATTTAATAAATAACCTAGAGCATAATATGAATAGTTACTGGAAGTGAAAACACATCTTCCTTGCAATGTACACTGTTCCCATAATGTCCTTAAAGAATTTGTTCTATACGATAAGTAACCTTTAGTTTTAATGTCCCTTGTTTGCCGTTGCAATGTTATCTGTGTGTTGTTTTTTAAATGTACCTTATCTCATACCTCGTAAGTGTTTTACAGACAATTGTTCAGACAGGAATATTATTTTCGTAATGTTCAGTTACATATTCCGATAATAACAAAAATGTAGAAACATGCCATTTATTAATCAACATAATAATATGCTTGCGAGGTTTGAAAATGTTCTCTTTCTAATTGTATATTATGCCCTTTTGGTGTTTATGACTAGATCAAATGCATTTTTGAGTGATGGTATTTATTTCTCTACTGACTAAATTGGCTTTACAAAGTTGTTCCATGATTACTCAATACAATGGTCCGTTGATTTAAACATATATATGGCCTTTTCTATGCACAGGGTATTGTTAAAATTATTCTACAGAAGTTATTAAATTGTGAAAACTTTTGATCTGTAAAAATGTGTTAAAAAAATATTCCCTATATTTAATTAGGATTTTTAACTGTATATACAGGGCGTTTGCAAATAAATGCGAAAAATTTAAGGGGATGGTTGCCGAAGTTATTTTGTTACAAAATTTGGCGGGAAAAAGTCAGTGGCACACCATTTTTTTATTATTATAAAATGTGTGGCATTCTCGCACGAACGCCACTGGCACAATTAGAAATATTCGTACCACCCCAAAAAAATGCACATTTATCCCTCCAAGACTTTTGCACATTTCGAGTCGGTATTTAAAACTCTGAAATGAATAAAAAAATAAATTTAAACACTGTATCTGAGAAACGAAACATATTTCGACGTACGTTTATAGGAACTTTTTTACCAAAATAACTTCGGCAACTACTTCCTAAAATATTTCACACCTATTTACAAACACCCTGTATTTTTCTGCAATAAGAGCCTTCATTTTTAGTTATGAATTGATAAGTAATGATTTTTGTGTATTGTAGTGTTGATATTAGTATTTTGCATTCTGTTAAATATTTGTTTGTCTAAATTAATTGTATGTTATGATTGATTTACGGTAATTTACACATTTTACCCCAAAACAACGAAATTATAAAATGAACTGTTCCGAAATTCATAATTTCCCAAAAAAAATTTTTGGAATTAGTTTCAGAGTGTCCTGCTAATCTGGGACGCTCAATGTGTATGAAGGTAGGTATTTGCTTTTATTAAATAAAATGTATCACTTAAATTTAGTTTTTGAAAATGAATGCTTACTTTTGACACATTATTTCGAGTGGGGTTTTTTGGCATTTATTTTATGGGTTTCTTTTTTCAAGAAATCCAGTACTGATTTAAAATTATCTCAAAAATGTAATAACTCCCCCAAATGGTCCATTTCTAATTATTTAGAACCTTCGCTTTATTTTTAAGTAAAATATCCATTGTTAGTCAAATTATTTGATAGAACTGGATTGAAACTCAAACATGACGGTTTTCCATTAAAGAAAGTACCAAGTGCTCAGAATGAACTAACTGACTACTTGATAGTTTCTAGTAAATTAATTCTTTTTGTGTAAATATAGTATTAAATTTTCCGACTTTTATATATGTCTTAAATGTTTCAATGTAAAGGCAAAAAGTGTGCGGTATAAACTGTAGGTGCCTTAACACGTTGAGCACGGCATGATACAATACGTATTTTAATACTGAGCCGCGTGTATTTTGAAATGACTCATGCCACTGTGCTAAATAAATGGGAACACAGACAGAGTCGTCCTAGAAACCGTTTTTAAGCACCGATTGTTAATTTTTTTTGTGTTAATATGCGTTTGATTGGGTGTGATGAAAAAAATGTGTCGGACCAATGAACATTTTTTTTTAAGTTCAGCCATACTCAACGTGTTAAAAATGACTGGAGACATAGAGACTATTTATGTTACGATTATGAACTTGCCAGATTATTTAATAGTTGCTTAGACATTTACCTGTTAGTACAGAATAGATACAAGATCATTGCGGCACTATCCAAAATTTTGGGGCGGCAGAAAACGAGTAGGGAATCGATTATGAATATCGAAATCATATTAGATTGAAATAATAAAATAATATTAGTAAATCAAATGAAACAATTTAATTTAATGGTCGTTAAATGGAATTAGCAATTTATCATCATTTTTTGTTTGACTTGTGTTTGATCTATTATGGTTTCAATATTTTGTCTTTGGTATAACTTCATGGACTGATTATTTAAAAACAATTCAATCAGGTTTAAACAATCTTTTGTACCAAATAAAGGGCTAGTTTGGTACTGCTTCATATCAATTTGGATGGATGGAAGGCTGAATAACATAAATACATAGAAAACTTATACTGATTTGGTAAAGACTAAAATTTATTGAATTTGAATTTCCCTGTTTGAACTGCTGTACCTACATCTGCACTGAACAATTGGTTGAAGCTCATTGCAAAATAATTTCTTAAGTTCCTGGGCCAAAATATTAAATAGTAAAGAAAAGAAACCACCTTTGACTGATTTTTAGAAAATTCTTATTTTATTATATCATTCTTTTTCTACTCCTACATTAGATTTTTGATTTCAACAGAGGTTTGATATAATTTAAGATCCATAAAACATGAACATATCTTGATTAAAATTTTTAAAAATCATCAAAGCTGTACCAAATTAATCCATTTTTTATTTTCAAAAAGGAAATAAGATTAAAAATAAAGCATAATAGGTGTAAATGTTATTTAAATGTTACATATTCTCAACTATAAATTTTTTAAAAGTTTTTTATTATATAGGTAAAAAAATGATATTATAATATGTAGTATTACTAAATTTTATATGTATTTTTAGCTGCAGTGAAATCAAAAATAATATAACATGGATAATTCGTTTCATAAAAAAATGGAATTTCTCTTTTTATAACAGTTTGGCAGCATACTTAAATTGATTTTAAGGATTTAGGTTTATTATTTATATAGAAACTTTTTTTATATATTCAACGTGGCTATACACACCCTCGCCGAAGAACTTGTAATAATATTCACCCGAATTTTTATAAAAAAATATTTTATTTTTTTAAATTTATAATTTTTGTTTATGTTAAGTTCTATTATTTTGGTTGTTAAGTTAATTTAAATGTTTAAAACTCTAGCAATAAAAGAAATTTCAGATATTTACATAAATTTTGTCTAAAGTAGATATTTTTTAAGTTTTCGCCTTGTTTGCAGCTTACAAACTGAAAATATCTCAAATTTCTCGTCCGTCTGGATTTTGTTATTATATTTGTGACGTAATTATACCAGATCTTGTTTTAAATTTGAATATTATTAAGCGAATTTTTGGAAATTTGTTTTTGTGTTATTAATAAGTGCAATATAAAAAAAAAAATAAGAGTATGTTTTGCGTTTTAAATATTCAATCTGTGATAAAATTGAATGACTTTAAGCAAGATCTGGTTTGACAATAAAATTGTATTTTGACTATCTAACCCGAGTTTGCATCTACAATCATCAGTTTAAATATTTTTCCTATAACCATATATGAAAGTGGTACATATCGCACTGTTAAGCCCTTTGGCAAGAATGAACTTTCTGCCCGTATGGATAACCTAATTTTCGCCCATGTATGGAGTATGGATAAAAAACAGAAATATGCTGTGTAATATGCTATTACAGCCTACTGGTTGCACGATACAAAATGTCAAGGCTTTTAAGACGCTTAACCACAAATACTTTTCTTTTTAATATATATTTTCCAAATTTTTCTTTTGTCCATGAAATTGTATCAATTCCAATTTGGTGCCCTAAATTTTGATATTTTGGCAGTTATTTTTAAATGAAGTTCTGATATTTAGTATATTCACGAAATTTATAGGCTTGATACCTTTTTCTAGCTGATAATAAAAAGAAAAAATACTCAAAATGTCAAAATATAGACCATATAAATTTGAAATAGCAATCTCACACGTTTTTTTTTTAATTCCATTATCATAAACACATCCCTGTATTTTAGCAGAATTTAATAGGTTTTTTTTACAACTAAATGTGTGCGCTCCTTTTAACGCATCGTGTGATAAACAATTTTTATATTTAATAAAACATTAAAATAATTTGAGACTAATTTTTTATAATTAAAATATGATATGCTTTCTCGGATGATAATAAAAATACTTAAAATGTCAAAATATGGACCATAGTAATTTTCTTATATTTGAAATAGCAGTATCACACGGTTTTTTTAAAATTCCGTTGTTATAGACACATACCTGTAGTTTAGCAGGATTTAACACGTCTTTTTTTTTTTCGACTAAATGTGCGCTCCTTGTAACGCCTCGTGTGATAAACAATCTTAATTTTTAATAAACCATAAGAAATTTCAATTACTTTAAAAATCGTTTATTTATTATTATAAATATGATGGATTAGCGTATAAGGTGAGTTTTAACCCATAATTTGTCACGTACATCTAATTTTGAAATTAAAATTATTTACAAAAACTTCATATTTTGATTTATTACATTTAAATAAAATTTTGACGCAACTCCTATTTTGGTTTTCTGATAAACTGGACGTATATCTGTAAATAATAAGAAGTTCTATTAATGTTTGCAACGTTTATCGAATAGTCTAAAATTATGGAGAAATTTTACTGTCGATTTGAAAAATATATATTTAAAATGTTGCAGACAATATCAAAATAGAAGCTGCTCCAAAATTCTAGATTGAAACGCCTTATTGTTAATTACTTTTTAATAAATTATTTACTAAGTTATATTATTTAAAAGTCATTTCATTTTTTGTATGTATCAATTGATGTTCCTTTTACTGCTCCATCAAATATATATATTTAATTACTATCATAGCCAGCTGTAGTTTCATTCACATTTCCTTCCCGTTCCCAAAGCAGAACAAAGTTGGATACTTCTACCAAAACAAATTATAATTACTGGTTCCACTGTACCTCAAGCCTTTCCTGTAGTATATTCAACGATACCTACGGTTATTTAGCTACCCGTTGATAGATGGCGCATACATCCAGTTATTTAACTATTCGTTGAAAGATGGCGCATACATCCAGATGTTTAGCTATCCGTTGAAAGATGGCGCATCTCCGCCATTTTATGTCCAATTCTTGGCAAAATATACGGAGTGGCCGAAAAGTCTGGAAACGGCCAATTATCTCGTAAATTGCTAGACAAAATTTTGAAAAAATAAAAAACAATTTAAATTTGCATACGGATAGAAGGTCACATGTAGATCTCAAAAATATACTCAGTTTTTTTCTAACAGCAATATTAAAAAAGTTGTGGCAAAAATAAACATTTTTGATATCTCCTCGCTCATCTATTATCCTGATACAAAGTTCCGAATTCGAAAAGATCCAATTTTGTCTACAAAATTTTGGTATCAGGATAGCAGAAACGCGACAAGGTATTTGACTTATTTTTAAATGTGAATAACGACTAAACGGCTCAAGATAGAGGCAAGCCGTAGAGGGCATTTTAAACTATCCGTCCGGCTCTACCTTTATGTGAATTTATGGAATAATTCGATTATTATTAACTGAGGAATTAGGAAAAAAAAGTTAACCCTTATAGCTAGGGAGCAACTGAGTTCACTCCTTAATTTCTCGTGCTTTCCTTTATATGTACCGCAATTTTCATTAAGATCGGACACAAAAAAATTTTTCATCGAAAAATTTGGAAGGCTATACCCTTTCGATTTTTTTGAAAAAATAAAAAACAATTTAAATTTGCATACGGATAGAAGGTCACATGTAGATCTCAAAAATATACTCAGTTTTTTTCTAACAGCAATATTAAAAAAGTTGTGGCCAAAATAAACATTTTTGATATCTCCTCGCTCATCTATTATCCTGATACAAAGTTCCGAATTCGAAAAGATCCAATTTTGTCTACAAAATTTTGGTATCAGGATAGCAGAAACGCGACAAGGTATTTGACTTATTTTTAAATGTGAATAACGACTAAACGGCTCAAGATAGAGGCAAGCCGTAGAGGGCATTTTAAACTATCCGTCCGGCTCTACCTTTATGTGAATTTATGGAATAATTCGATTATTATTAACTGAGGAATTAGGAAAAAAAAGTTAACCCTTATAGCTAGGGAGCAACTGAGTTCACTCCTTAATTTCTCGTGCTTTCCTTTATATGTACCGCAATTTTCATCAAGATCGGACACAAAAAAATTTTTCATCGAAAAATTTGGAAGGCTATACCCTTTCGATTTTTTTGAAAAAATATTAAACAATTTAAATTTGCATACGGATAGAAGGTCACATGTAGATCTCAAAAATATACTCAGTTTTTTTCTAACAGCAATATTAAAAAAGTTGTGGCAAAAATAAACATTTTTGATATCTCCTCGCTCATCTATTATCCTGATACAAAGTTCCGAATTCGAAAAGATCCAATTTTGTCTACAAAATTTTGGTATCAGGATAGCAGAAACGCGACAAGGTATTTGACTTATTTTTAAATGTGAATAACGACTAAACGGCTCAAAATAGAGGCAAGCCGTAGAGGGCATTTTAAACTATCCGTCCGGCTCTAACTTTATGTGAATTTATGGAATAATTCGATTATTATTAACTGAGGAATTAAGAAAAAAAAGTTAACCCTTATAGCTAGGGAGCAACTAAGTTCAGCCCTTAATTGCTCGTGCTTTCCTTTATGTGTACCCCAATTTTCATCAAGATCGGACACAAAAAAATTTTTTGTCGAAAAATTTGGAAGGCTATACCCTTTCGATTTTTTTGAAAAAATAAAAACAATTTAAATTTGCATACGGATAGAAGGTCACATGTAGATCTCAAAAATATACTCAGTTTTTTAAAGTTAGATGAAAGTTAGCCGAACGCCGAACTAAACCAAAGTTTGACTATTCGATGGAAGATGGTGCTTCATATTTATGGCGTTTATATGTGCCATTATATATCCAGGTTGAAGTTTTCAACTTTTTAATGCAAAAGAAAAATACAAAAATGAAAAAATGGTGATATTTAGAACTTTTATTCTTCTACTTACACTTAGGACCGATTCCACCGTTGAGTTAAACGAAGTTTAAAATGACATTTTTACATTAACAATGTCATTTTAATCTCCGTTTAACACAACGGTAGACTCGGCGCTTAGTAAGTAAAATTAAGATCAAAATGTAGGTATAACATTTTTATTTTAAATTAATTGTAAATATTAATTATTTTGTTTTCTGTGAAAAATTACCTATATTTTGTGTAATAATAAGTCAATACTAGGGATTTTTAAAACAATAATTGTATTTATAGATATGACTGTTTTGTTTCTTTTTAATTTTTTTGAAATTATAATTTTTTAAAATTTGTACCCAGTTTTTGTTAATAGTAAAATAATTGTCACATTATCTTACATTTTACTCTGCAATAATTTTGTGTTTGTTTATTGTGAATATGATGTTTAATATAATGTAATGACATAGTTACCTATTCTAAATAAAATAAACTTATTACAAATGTTTTTATTTTTCATTTAAAACAAGTGACATTTTCCGTTTTTCAGCATTTACTTACAATAAAAATTCATTTTACTTATTGATTGTTTCAATTATTGTAAGTAAAAGCTGTAAAATAGAAAAATGTTACTTGAAATTGCTTCAATTTCATAAATTTTAAAGCCTGCCATTTTTTAAATCGCTTTACTTAGTTTTCTACTTTACTGACTGTACCGAATTATAGTTCATCATAACGCGCTCAGCGCGCTACTGTCGAGGTCAAACAAACTTGTTACCAACTATTTACAGGGGAAACGGCTACCAAAACAAATTATAATTACTGGTGCCACTGTACCTCAAGCCTGTCCTGTAGTATATTCAACGATACCTACGGTTATTTAGCTACCCGTTGATAGATGGCGCATACATCCAGTTGATTAACTATTCGTTGAAAGATGGCGCATACATCCAGATGTTTAGCTATCCGTTGAAAGATGGCGCATTTCCGCCATTTTATGTCCAATTCTTGGCAAAATATACGGAGTGGCCCAAAAGTCTGGAAACGGCCAATTATCTCGTAAATTGCTAGTCCTAATTGTACAAAATTTGGGGTACACCTATTTTGGGATACGGAGATTTTATATTTGCAATGTTGCCAGATTTGCAGTTTCTCTTATATTATTAGTCACTTTGGTTTTTCAAATTCATCACCCTGTATATTCAGTCACTATTTTAATCTCCAATAATCTTTCCTCCATGTATTCTACCATCGATTAGGGTACTGTCAACTCACAAATGGAGCACATTTTGAACACTTGATAAAGTAACCATTATGTTAAAAATGTTGCAATCTTTCAATTGTTACGTCTAATGTAGTTGAAAATAGTTTTGTTTTAAAAAATTAGGGAGTTTTAGCAAACAGCCGCTAACCATCCGCTAACGTTACCTTAGGGATAGACTGTAATCTACTCCGTTCAATGTTTATGAAAAAGGTCACAATCTAAGTTTAACGTAACGTTAGCGGAAATCTTACGTACATTTGCTAAAACTCTCTACTAATAAGAAAATTAAACGTTGCCAGACTTCTGTTTTATTCTACCTCCATACGTTACACGAACGGAATAAAACGTGACGAGTACGTTACACGAACGAAGGAGAATAAGTTAAACGAACGGAGCATTGAAGTGGAGATTCGCTGGAGTAAAGTTAGATGAAAGTTAGCCGAACGCCGAACTAAACCAAAGTTTGACTATTCGATGGAAGATGGTGCTTCATATTTATGGCGTTTATATGTGCCATTATATATCCAGGTTGAAGTTTTCAACTTTTTAATGCAAAAGAAAAATACAAAAATGGTGATATTTAGAACTTTTATTCTTCTACTTACACTTAATAATGTTTAATGTAGGTTAATATAAACATTTTACTACCATTAAAAAGTAGGGTACTCTGTACAAAATGAAGAACTTATTTCTAGTAAATGCTGAAAAATAAAAAAAAGGATAGTTGCTAGTGTCGTAGTCGACCTTATTTATAGATACTTTTTATACACAACAAAAATACAAAACCATATTTGTGATACAAAACAACCACACACTAATTTAGATAAAATAGCTGATTTTATCTATTCACAAGTACTACGTCAACAAAAGTGTTTTGTGGTGGGTCCAATGTACTTGATCCTTAATCAGCTGATGTGGAAAATATGTGTCTCTAAAATAAACCATAAATAAAAATCAGTTGGTGATAGAAATACAAATACGCCCATCTGAATCTGATAACTTCAATCTGCTTCAATTGTCAACTTGGTTTTGAAATGATTTCCAGTTGCTGAAATGGCTGAAGAGCAGACAAATATTGCTGGGTAAATATATTTTGTTTTTGTAAAAATATTGACATGTTGATTTTTGCAATTTCTTTACAGTAGCTGTCAATATTGTTTTTTAAATATATTTCTAGTCACAAAGTATTTTTTATTTTCAAATATACCACTTATAATTAATAACAGTTGTAAAAATTAACCATCTGTTGCCCCTATGTATATACTAAATACTAATCACCTATTATTTGAATTCAATTTGTATAACTAGGATAGGTATTTAGATGAATTGGAAGACATTAAGCAGAAAAGCTACCCACCCTCAATAGTGACAAACTGAGATGATCAACTCTAAAGTTTTTGTTTGTTTAAGAAAGCCTTAAGATGTAGGTAGCATTTTATAGCATATATAATTAACTAAGGCTTGATAGGTTCTTACTGAATCCAGAACATGTATTTTATTACCCAAATCCACACTCAACCCAATATCTGGTATTGTGTGGGTGGTAGCTTTCGGCATAATGCCGTCCAATTATAGGTTACCTTTTACATTGTTTTACTAATCAGCACTGATGTGTTGCCCCTGTCCTGTGAAATTCGTGCATTATTTATTATGTTCCCAACATTTCAACAGTAGTGCCTACTATAGCATTACTTAGTACCCTTCACCTATCTTATCAACCTTCCACCTATAATCTCCAATTTTTGTGGCAGTCTTGGCAGGATAAATATTAAAGCTCACTTCATCATAGCTCCCTGTTTGCCAGAAGAAGAGATATTCAGAGATAAACAAAATTGTTATGATTTTTGAATTCACAATTTATATACATCACATGACATGTCATTGATTTCCATTTTACAATAATTATGCTTTTATAAATACATCTTCAACAATAATTTATTTATTTATTGATGGGACAAACATATTTTAAAGAGCCCACTTCAACACTTAAAAAGTTAAACAAAAAAAATAATTTTGTCAGCTAGTGAAACTGTAGCAAACAATTATAAAATAAATGACAACTTAAATACCTATATCAAAATACTTATAACTGGTCACAGGCTTTATTAAAAAAATATTTTGTTTGTTTTGATTTATATACTTATTTTATACTTGGCAAAACGCCTTTTTATAAGTCATAAAATTAAATAATTTATTTCAAAAAATGTTTTATAGGAGCCTTTGTATGGGCCCCCATACATTAAATATATCTACAAAATTATTTGAGACGAACAGAAAAAGATTAGTAGATGCACTCCAAAAAGTAAAGGAAAATTCCACTGTAGTTCTTCAGGGAGGATCCGAGGTATCATTTTATGATACAGATACAAGCTATATATTCAAACAGGTCGGTAAAAAATGGCGTCTTACATTTTTGATTCATTTTTTTTTTTTTTTTTTTAGGAATCATATTTCAATTGGTGCTTCGGTGTAACTGAAGCCGACGCTTACGGCGTTATAGACATTATTACTGGACAATCCTACTTGTTTTTTCCACGCCTTCCTGCTGACTATGCTGTTTGGATGGGTCCCCTTAAAACTTTAGAAGATTTTAAAAATAAATATAAAGTTGATCATGTCCATTACATAGAAGAGGTAAGAAGATAGTAAAAAAGTCCTTTAATTTGATAATAACCCTGTCCCTAATTTAACACAAATCGATTTGATTTACAGCGTAATGTTGGTTGCCTATTAAATTTGAATTTTGAGGATATGCGATTCAAAACGCTGTAATGAATAATGCTGGTTACTAATTCTGATGTTTACCCACTATGCATAAAAAACGTTTAATTATTAAAAACTCTATATCACATTGCTATATTATAACTTGTTTATTCTTCTTGTTTTCATCTATGGGATGGACGCTGTGCCCCATCTGTGCCCAGAGTAGATACAGTTACTTTTGTAGACGTTCCACTGGCTTTTTTCAACGTTACTGGAAGTGTCTAAAAATAATGTCTACAACAAACCAAATGTGACACTCTTGATATATTTCTACTTCTTTGTAGATGTTATTATACCTAACGCCCATAAAATAAAATCGTATTAATGAATCAAATGTGACGTTCCAAATATGATTACTTATTTTCCTGCTGCTCCACATTCTGCCTTTCATTAAATTTTATATATAGACTAAGTGGAGATTTTATTTTTTCATTTATTTATACATTATACAACAAAAAAAGTCTTCTACAGAAAAAGAATAATACAATAGTTAAATTATTATTGCATGTCATGTCTCATGCATGTACAAGTAAATAATTTAATAGAAATACTGAATACCAGCGGTTATGTAAGTAGCAAGCGATCATTGGTGTATCCATCTATGAACGCGAGACGGAGCCTCTTGGACTGTTGGGTCTAGGGTGTAAAGACAAAAGATAAGTCATCTTATAAGAATGTGTATCTTGTACACACTACTGTGCCGATTTGTATGTGACATTATTGGTAGTTATATAAGTTAACATTGTATAAATGTTTGTCACAGGAAGTAACTAAAAAGAAGTACAGAAGTTGTTTTTGTAACTACTAATGCAAGTATTGTTGGGTACATGAAACTTCAGTTGTAGATAGCTGCGAGGGATGTTAATGAATATGACATTAAACTTTAAACAACTATGGGATATTTAAATACCGTTTTAAAAATATATCAAGAAGTCTATAAAAAACGTTACAAAAAAGACTGGTAATATTTCATGTTTAGTAGGTAGTTGTTAGTAGTTTTAGTTTAGAGATAAATATTAATAGAAATCAATGACTTCACCTTCCATTTGCGTTTTGAAAAATCCCCACTCTACCAAATTGTGCTTTTTTGTTTATTCTTCTAATTAGTACCCATCTAGCTAAATTTGCTTTTAAAAATATACTAAAAAAAATTCTCTAGTTTTCAAACAGTGGCGTAACTATCATATGGCAGTTCCAGGTAATGCCACAGGGTCCCTCAATTTTGGGGCCAATTGTGAGTTTGTTTTGTTTGAATGTCCTCAATTTAATAAAATAAAAATTGACAATTATTTTAAAACATGCAAGAACTATGTACTTCATTACTTATGCATTTATACTACCTATTTAAATCATTTGAATTTGGCAATGTTGCTGTTAACAATATGTCGGCGTCGGTTTGACAACAAAAAAAAAATTCTATGAACTACATATAATTATCAATATTATTATTATTTTAATTAAGGATTGAATTAAATTTAAATTATTTTCTTTGAGACTTTTAAACAGAGGGAGGACTGTCATTGTCTTGTTACGTTACTGCTTTCAAATAGTTACACACAAGATTTTATTCCACGTTTTTATGCATCATGATACCAAAATATCAAATATCTTAAGTTTTATGCCAACAAATAATTTTTTTTTAGAAAGACACGAGGCGTTGTTTGAAAGTTATACTAATTTTTGGGTTTGTTTTATTAGTAAAAAAAAATAAAAACTACAGGGGTCATTCTATGCTTAGAAAAATAGAAACGTAATCACATTTTTTAAGTACTTTATACAACATTTTGTGAATTATTCATGACGTCACATTAGAAAACTATAGCTTCCTTATTTAAAATTTCCAGTTTAGAATAAGATATATACAGGATGACCAGACGAAAACTTAACAGATCGATTATCAGGAACTCCATCAGCATTTTAGATAATAAACGCTGGAACCAATACATTTTTTTATTAATGCAGTATATATTTCTACTATATCCTCAACTGTCATATGCCATTCCCTAACCAATACAATTTAAATAAGAAAAGTATCAGGCATTGATTATTTATGGAGAATTTAGCAATATGAATATTCATTGCTTTTGATTTTAGCACCCTCTAGCAGAATAAACTATACCTATAAAGTGTGACAATTCATTTGAAATATAATTTTATTAGTAATTCAATTCGTATCATAAACTTGTTATTTTGATTGATTGTTATTAAAGTTTGTATTTCTTAACAATTACGTGAGTTCATGTTTCATTCAAATAAATTTTAATTTTAATTCTTTACAGCTGCCAGCAGTTCTGCAAAAACTCAACAGAGGTCATTTGCTCACATTAGTAAGTTGTTTCATAAATTTTATTAATTCAAAACAAACCTGATATTCATCATTTTCAGACTGGTCGTAATTCAGATAGTGGCCTTACATCAAAAGAAGCTACCTTTGATGGGATTGAAAAGTATGTTATGCTTATTAATTATCAACATATTTTAATATATATTTTTTAGGTTTAAAGTAGATAACAAGACTCTTTTTCCAATAATAGCAAATTTGTAAGTATTTGGGTTTTTCCATTTTATCGAATTCTTGTCCTGTACAGATTTTCATTAATTGTTGCTTCTTGATAAGCTCCCTACGTTCTAGCCCTTAATGTTTACATTATCCTCAACTTCCTGGTTGTGTTCAGTATTGACAAATGAATTTGTGTATTTCAGGAGAGTTTATAAAAGTGAATTGGAGATTGAAGTGATCAAATATGTGGTAGAGGTTTCTTCTGCTGCACATCGTCATGTGATGCGTTTAGCCAAAGCTGGATTATATGAATACCAATGCGAGTCTGAATTTTTGAATTACTGTTACAAAAACGGAGGTTGCAGACATTCAGCGTACACCTGCATTTGCGGATCGGGTATAAATTCAGCAGTTCTTCATTACGGACATGCTGGTTGTCCCAATAATTATCAGTTAAAAGAAGGAATGTTGTGGTAAGATATTTCTTTAAAAAGTTTTATTATATTCAAATTTAGGACAATTTACTATTTAGTTTAATCAGACACAACCTGATTACTAACAGAAGTAGTCCTATATCTTTGGCTTGGTGCTACAACTTCTAATATCCATTTTCGGATGTTTTATAGATTTCTTTTGTAATAGGTAGAGCAATTCAAGATATTAAGTCAATTGTCAATTTAAGAAACGACTAAACGAGCCTTAAACTTTAAAGTCTCATAGGTGTGTAATTTGAGGAGTTAAATTTTTGACTTTATATGTGGTTGACAACGGGTAGTTTTCCGCTCATTTGGAATATCCATTCGCACGCGAATTGGAATAGGGCCAAGCTCGGGTGCGTTTTTTTTATAACTATTATTGGAACTATGTCTATTTTGAGAAAATATAATTTTAATCTTGCATTTGATTTGAAATTATTTCATTAGTTGAGAAAATATCAAAAAAAGGGTGATCAAATAATAAAAATAAGAGTGTTCAATCTCTTGACTGCTCCTCTAATAATATATTGAATCTGAACTCTCATACTTATATTATAACACTTTCTTGGACCTATTTAAAAATGATTTTTGAATACAAATGATATGAGCATTTTAAATGTAATAACTTTTAACATTATCAATATTTTGTTACATTTTATTGCAGTTTATTTGATATGGGTGGAAGTTATTATGGATACGCAGCAGATATTACAGTTACATTTCCTGTAAACGGAAAATTCACGGCGCAACAAAAATTGATATATGAAGCAGTTTTAAAATCGAACGAGGCTGTTTTTAAAGCTGGTAAACCAGGCACATCTTGGGCAGATATGCATTTGCTTTCTAATAGAGTTCTGCTTGAAGAATTGAAAAATGGAGGTCTTCTACAAGGGTCTGTCGATGAAATGATGCATGAAGATCTTGCAGCTATCTTCCAACCACATGGTTTGGGTCATTTCCTGGGCTTGGATGTGCATGACGTTGGTGGGTATCTAGATGGGTGTCCTGAAAGATCTAGCAGACCGGGGTTGAAGAGTTTGAGGACTTCTAGAACATTAGAGAAAAATATGGTACTGACTATTGAACCAGGATGCTACTTTATAGATCCTGTAAGTATTAATGTTAACACAAAAAAAAACGCTTTTTTGTTTCCTTACTGGAATTTCTCGTTTTTATTCAAGTATACTCCATTATGACATGATGGTGATATCCTTGATGATTTTATTTTGTTTCAGTTGTTGGATAAAGCACTGGCAGATCCAAATAAATCAAAATTCCTCGTTCCAAGTGTTCTTAATACATTTAGAGGTTTTGGCGGAGTACGGATTGAAGATGACATATTGGTTACAGAAAATGGTATCATCAATTTGACCAAAGTACCTAGAACGTAAGTATTATTAAGAAATGTACTACCATTTAACTATAGAATGGCAATTTCCAATAATTTCAGTACACTCCTAAAATTAAATTGGAATAATAGAGAATTCAGCATTTTATTTATCGCGATTTTTTTATGCAAAATGGCTTTCTGTCAAATGTCTTAAATTGTAGATATGTATTGTAGTGCTTGACTTCTAGACCAAATATGGCCATGGCTGGTTTTTAAGGTACCACTGTACCTTAAAAACTAGCCATGGAAATTAAGTGAACACATGGTCTAGAGGTACTTTAATAATTCAAAATTTAGGACAAATGAAGAAAGCCATTTTGCAAATTATGTGAAATTGAGTAAAATCTGAGAATTTTTGTAACCACTTGTGAGTGCGTAAATTGATCCAAACATAGCTCAAATCCTTGTCTTTTTTTTTAGAGTTCAAGAAATCGAGGATTGGATAGCTGGGAAGGATGATGAAAGAAAATATGCATAATATATATATTAAACCAAATTTAATCGTACCAAAATATTTTTGTAACAATTATTGATAGTTATTCGCATGTCTGTTCAATTAATAAACAGATAATTAAAAAAAAAATGTTTCGTCATTTTTGGGTGGTTTTCTTTTGAACTTTTACAGTTTCTACTTTTCGAATTTGGACATTTATTTCTTTTTTAACATTAGGTTTATTTCCTGTGGTTGTGTTTTTGGCAGCATTGTTATTTGGTCTTGGTTGCCTTACAGGTTTTTTATTTTCCAGACTCTTTGCTTTTTCTAACTGATCAACAAGCTTCTTTTCTTCTTTAACAAGTTGTTTTTCTTGCCTAAGAAGCTTTAATTTCGCTTCTATAGCTTCTTTTGATGGTTCCTCTTTTTTAGGTCGAGGATTTCGTGGTTTATTTGGTCCCGAAGTCGAGGTCTAAAATAATTAAGTCATATTAAAACTACTTATTTTAAAACAATAGAAATATTGTTCCCAGAATTTGAAAATCAATCTGTGCCAAAGCACATATATTTTTTTTAAATACAGGTTATTTACTTTTAGTGAACTTTCGAGTTGAGTTCTATAATGTCAATGTTTCTCAATTTGTAAAACTGTCTAATCTAATACAGACATAAACTCATCATATCGTTAAAAGCAAAAGGTGGTATGTCAAAATCTTTTATATCATCAGATGATCCAATAAAAGGTATAACCAAACAAAAAGGTTCTGTTTTTGTAGCTGATTGTTGTAACTGCAAATAGTCATAGAATTGACTCCCTACTTGAAAGGTATACTTGCGGCCATATTTCTCTCTCACAAATGTATATTGTGGGGTAACTGTAAAGATATGTTTCAAGTAGCCAAGTCAATGTCTGACTGAGTCTTTTTGAAGCTGCTATAATCTCTGCTGGGATTGAGATAAGGTAGACTTGAGTCGCTACCTGAAAGTACATTTAATATATGGCTGCTTTTTGATGAGTGTTTGCAGCGAAACTTGTTTGTCAACAGTATTGAACAATTTAAAATTTTTAAAACACCTATTTATTTTTGATCAAAATACCGTTGACAAGAAAGTTTCGCTCTGTTCGCAAACTTGTTAAATATCAAGACTACTAGAACAACTAAAGGAGACGAAGATCACGAGCGGTGCAGTGCACATACACACTATTTACTATTTAATGATTAAAATTATGAGATTATCATAAAATCTATTTTAGGCATATTATAGAGTATCTTTAATAATTTCTGTGAAATGTAGATGAGATACTTGCATTTTTTTTGTCAATCTGCAGCTCTACTGCACTGATGCACCAGCTGCCACTGCATGGTGTAACAAAAAGATATACAGTAAATTTACCCAGTAGGTACAGGGTAACGAGATTGCAGATAGTCTCGCAATGAAAGGGGCTCAAACACCCTTTGTGGGACCTGAGTCGTTCTGCTGTACCAGCAGTAAGATAATATTAGGAGAGATTAAAAAGAATTGGGCAATAGAAGAACCGATAATTGGAACAATCTCTTGGGGCTGAGACAGGCTAAGATACTTCTGGGTGAATATAACGAGAAAAGATCGGAAACTACGCCGATTTAAGCTAACTTGCTTTTATAAAAAAATGAATAGTAAAACACTTACAAGGTGTTCAAAGTAGAAATTTTATAAGTGCTTTTTTGCTCTTACTCTAAAATGGCTTGACAAATTTTTATGAAAATGTACATGAGATGTTAGTATACAGTAATCAGTGGCGTTCAAATTTTTTTTAATTAAATAGGTTTTTAGAACGGTTCTGCACCACTTTAACCTCTCTATTTTTTTAGACAATGAAATGCAGATAAAATGAGGATGTCACTGAAATCCTACATCTACTATGATTTTTTTTGCCATTTAGTATTTGTTTGTGAAAGCCTTAATTACTGAGCTAGGTCCCTGAAAAATATTCACAATGAAATTTTTTGTTCACGATTTTTTTTTTACTGTTTTATAACTTCATTTACAATTATTCCCTTGTAAAATAGTAAAAAAAATCATGTAAAAATATTCAGTAGATCAATAGGAAAATTTCATTGTATTTTTTACTACGACCTTCTTTCTTCAGGGGCCTACAATTCAGTAATTAAGGCTTTCACAAACAAATACTAAAAGGCGAAAACATTTCAAAACATGTATGATTTCATTGGCGTCCTGTTGTTAACTGAATTTCGTTATCTAAAAAAGTAGTGGGACCAAAGAGGTACAGAACCCCTCTAAAAATCTATAGAGTCAAAACAATTTTGAACGCCACCGATTCCATTTTATTGGTCACTATACACTTACATCCCATGTACATTTTCATTAAAACGTCGGTTGAGAAGAAAACTATCCTATGTCCATTTAAACTATTCTATGTCAAATTTTTTGAATAATAAGTTATTGACATAAAAGTCCTATTTAATTCTAGCTTGTGCCATACTATCCAATGTCTTAAGAAGCCGTATAGGGAACGAAAATTGAATAGAATTGTCTTCGTTATAGGGCAATAAAACTTTTAAATGCGTAATACTCAAAACTAATAGAAAAGGACTTAGGATACATTTGTTAATTTTTTAATACTTATTATTAATCTCTCCTCCCCTTTTCCAAAACCAGTAAAATATTCCGAGCATTTGAGAAGCCTCGGCGTTTCTATTCCCTTAGGACTAAAAGAGTAAATCCACAGTTCACTCTGCGTCGGCACTTTTGATCTCAATGTTCCAGTTTATACATTGCGCAACTCGGATTTGTATCCCTGGCGCATACAGAATCAAATTATAACCAATACAATATATGACAACCGCCTATATTCAAACAGCAGTCTTCTGCGCATCCTGAATTTGTATCCCTGGAGTGGATGTTATTTTGGAACATTCAACTGGTCCGAGTGAGCTAACTAATTCTTTAGCAATAAACTGTGGTAAAACTAGTTGCCTAGAACCACTCGACTATGCTATTAAGGGATACATTTTGTTCTTTTAATTTTTTAATTATTATCGAAGCAAAAATTCAAAATTTTTGTAAATTCAATTTTAAAAAAATTCCCATATTATGCGGACTAACGATGATACTGTAGGCATGGGCGCCAGCAGGAAAAAAGCCAGAGGGGACCAATAAAAAAAATTCAGTTTGTCAGCAACTAAATTGTATATGTAGGTATACAAAAATAATAATTGTAAATTACCTAATGAAGAGCCAACGGGAGGGAACCGCCCCCGCTGTCCCCCCTACGAACGTCCATGACTGTAGTTATATTAATTTGAAAACAAAAAAAAGTTTATTTTTATTTTTTTTTGCAAATAGTGACATAATGAACTTTTCGTAACCAGTTGTATAAAGTAGATCATTTTGACACGATTAATAACGATATCGCTTTACACTATAACAAATTAGAAAAAGCGGTTTTTATAACACTGATTGGTACTGAAAATTGGATATACACCTCAATCAACATAATAGGTGTTTTTCCGTTAAAGTCGTAAAAAAAAATGATTCTAGGGTTCGGGCGTGGTAGCAATCCAGTATCACCATGCACTCACGATGTAGACAAACGTTTGGAGTAATTTTTTTAGTTGTAAGTTTTAAATAAATTTTAACCGCATATTTTATATTATACTAGATGTAGTTACACTTTAGTCAATTATACAAATCCAGGGTGTCCCTTCAGTGCGTATTTGATCAATAGCTGTTTTATTATTGGAGACATGAAGAAATTTTTAATACAAAAGTTGAAGGTCGATATTTTACAATTATTTTTAAATATACAGGGTAGTCCATAAATGAGGAGCGAACCAAACTTATATTTTTTTAGACTAAACAATTTGGTTAACAGACATGGTTGTTTTCACATTTTACTAGACTTAAAATTTCTATGTTTTCTATATTCACTTATTTGTTATTATGTATACAGGGTAACTTAAATGCGAATTTACTATATTTTCAATTTTTCAAATGGAATACATGTTATACCACCAGTTTATAAATAAATTTCTTTATTATAAATGCATTTTTCCTCAAGATTTTGATGGTTTTATAATAAAAATTAATATTTTTCTAATAATAACTTGATTAACTTGTCAATTAAAAACAAAAGCAAAGGCCTTACATTTTTGTTAACCCGTTTTCAAAAATAATGAATGATTTTTTTGTTCCGGGATGTCACACAAATGTGTTTTGGTATAGGGAATGCAAAAAAAATAAAAATAAAAAGAAATTATTAATTAAATAATTGGCGGTAGATATAACATACAAGGTATTCCATTTAAAAAATTTTGAAAATCGTAACTTTGAGTTTTGACACAGGATACAACATAGCAAATGAATAAAGCCTATTAAAATTAGTTGAGAATGTGAAAACAATCTTGGTCAGTCCCTCATTTATAAACCACCCTGTATATTTAAAAATAAGTTTTAAATATGGTCATACAACTTTTATATTAAAAATGTCTTTGTATTTTCAATAATAAAACAGCTATCGGTCAATTATACACAGATGGGACACCCTGTATACGTATAATTGGCTAATCTGTTGCTATCGTTGGATAGGTGAATTTAAAAGAATTTTTTTGCTAAAATAATATACAGGGTGTTGCATTTGAAAAAATTTAGTAAATTGAACTTAAAATAAGCCATATTTGAGACACGTTTCAAGACACTCTGTATAAAATAAACCAGTTCTATTACCACTAATCGTTAGCTTAGTATCTTTTAAGTTTGTATTTTAAACAATTTTAAAATCATTGCTAACGTATTTAGATTGTAATAATTTAATTTAGGGTCTGTAGATATCTGTAATTTCACAAAAAAATTAATTGCTTGAAACCCAGTAATATTTTTTAAAAATATTTTAGCGGGGAATATAGTATTAAAAGACTATTCTAAAATTGAAATAAAATACAGGGTATTTCATTTAAAAAATATACAGTTTTATTTGCCAAGCAAAAGTGTTACATCCTGTATAGGTATTCAAAAATATTTTTAAAATAAGCCTTTTTAAAATCCATATAACTCTTATTATGTCTATAACACAAATTGATTTATCGAGCAAATATGCACTAATGGGACACGCTGGATACACTTTTTTTGTGATGGTGTAAAACTGAATGACAAAAATTATAAAATACTATTTGATACATTAAATATTAAACAAATCTTGCTTTTTGAAGGAATTTAAGGGACGGTTAAAAAATTTCGATTTATTTAGGTTCTTCAATTTAACACAAATTCATTTCTATTGTTTTAATTATGTTTATGTTTTGGTCCTTAGTGGCATTTTTTCACCTTTTAAATTCCAGCAGATACACAATTAGTTTTGGTGTACAAATTTTAGCACAATATCTGCATCGATTCTGCTGATTTGATCCCTTGTTAGCTTATGGAAGGAGCTGTATCACACTGCAATATTCATTTTGGGTGGTTCTACATAGATATATATTGTAAATGAAGGCTTTTAAATTACTTCAAAATTTTTATGATTACTTATCTTTAAATAGTCAGATTTTTTAATCATTTTTATCTATA